AGGAAGCGATTGTGGCCTAATTTGAGGTAATGCCCTGATTATTCTTGAGTCTGTGGTAAATCACACTCCATCTATAGGCCTACCATGGTTGCATTCCCCTGGGAAAATATGAGTAAAATTCCTATTCCTGTTAACTAAAGTCAACTTACTGTTCACCTGCTTGCTACGTGCTTCATGCTGGTTTCTCACTCTGATTATTCTTCGACCTTGAAGATGGAGGCAGCATGTTCCCCTGAAATGTCCGTTGACTTTCAAAGGACTACAAGGCAATACGTCCCAGAAAACTTTATAACCACCGCTGTGAGACCCTCAAATCATACATGTAGGATATTATTTCCTAATTACTCGTACTTACTAAGTAATGTTGCGTTCTAGACATCAGTCACAGAAGCTCAATATGTCCTAAATTCAGTATTTTCCTTGAAGGTTCCCCGCCCCATTGTCATTTCGAAATATCGCCATGCGGCCTGAGAGTGAAAGTAATTAGCAAAATACAACGTGACAGATTTGGTGACAGGGCTGCGCTGATGAGTATCTATTTTCAGTACGACACACATCTTGGCAGCCTGTGCAGTATATTTTTTTGGCTTAATTTTTATGCTCGTCGATCTCCGGTCTTATTGCTGAGGGCGGAAAAGTTCCAAAATTATCACCACGTCGAGCCATAACTGACTTCTCTTGAGGCAGAGATGAGGGTCTGGGAATCCTGAGTATTGTTTTTCCCTTTACTAACACCTGGTAACGAGTTCTAGAAATCACATAATTACGTTGGTAACTTTGTGCAGCAACTGGCGAAGCTGAGGATTTGGTGCGTGCTGGACCAAGTATGATTCAGCAGTTCTTTACAAACCACTTGTTTGGATATAATTTATTTTATGGTTGAAGGAAGTGGTTTATCTGAGCAGGGTTTTGAGTATTTTTAAAAAGTGAGTTCATAAGGAACTTGCATAGAATTTATAGTAAGACTATTGAATGGAATAGCATTACTTGGGGAAATTTAGAGGCTGTTGATATGCTAGTACAATCCAGAAAACATGCAGAAGTTTTAAGTTGAAAATCTTAAGTATCCTATGCCAAAGAAGGCAGAGTTCAAGCGTCAAAGGAATACCAAAAAAAAAAAAAAAGAGATATTGATGCGTTTGAGTATAGATGAAATATCAGTTACCACATTATTTTTGCATAACAAATATTCTATTTAAGCTTCGGAAAGTTGATGGCAGCGCATTGAAAAATGATAATATCTTTGGTCAAACATGCGAATTATGAATCACAATAAACATTTATGGTAAAGCTATTATTCGCGAATTTGGACATTTACTGAACCCGTCCGATTTGCTGCAGCATGACTTCTTAAGGCTCATAAAATTACAGTTCTCATGAAGATGTCGCCCGCTTTGAGGTATGCTGCTCCTCAGTGCTCTAGTTTCCGGCCTTCCCGTGGTTTTCATATAATCAGACATACGCAATTATTGCTCTGTCAGACTGAAAATACCTGTAGGCTACGCTTTTCTTGCATATCCGTACAAACACACCTTTCCTCCTTTCATCCGTGTACGCTACGCAATATCTTTAGATGATACAGCGTCATGATAAATACACAGGAATTCCTGCCTCTGGTTATACATGTATTATTTCCTTTTCTCATGTAATCAGTAACTTATAATTTAATAATCATACACTGTGTCTACGAATTCTTGTTTAAGCAGAAATTCTGGCTGCATGAATAGTGATTTCTCTTCCTCTCACATGAGCTGTAACTCTTACGGATTAGTAACAATCTCTGGCTGTAGGCATATTGTTACATGTATAACTCATGTGAGCTGTAACTCTCACAACTTAATGACAACCTCTAGCTAAATGTACACCTGTACTGCTTCCTCTGTCTTGCATGTGAACAGGAAATCTGGCTCTCTCTCTCGATCTCTCGTGTAAAGGGTAGCGTTGGTAGTACACATATATTGAAGATTAAGATTTTCTGGGATAAATGGCCGATTCTTTCGGAGAAACCCCGACACTTCGGAGGACATATCGTCTACATCCTCATGGTTGAAAGGTAAGAGCAGCAAGAAGCAGACATAAGTCCATAAGTATTCTACTCGTATGTATGTTCTTTTCGTCTCATGATTTTTCGACTATCTGACAAAAAGGAAACTCAGTTGTTGCGGAAATGTCAGAACTGACAGAAATGGGAAACTAAAGAGCTCTCATTTCCACCTGCTTCGTACTTCTTTCTTTTAGACTATGAAGATGGAGGCATTATGTTCCTCGGAAACGTCGGTGGACTTTGCCAGGCTGCATAACGTTACGTCCTAGGAGATAGTACTTTTCATACTCACCACTGTGTGAGCTTAAAATCAACCATGATGTGTAATTTATATTTATAAAACACAGCTATAGGCAGGCTAACTAACGGACTGACTGGCCAACTAACTTCATGGAGCTGAGTTCTCCTTGAGAACCCACCCGTTACACAGCTACTCAAGAACTTCCCAATATTTTATGAAACCCGAAGGATAATTACCGTGTTTACAAGAACCCTCCAATGGTTCCTGCCCCAAGCCAGATCAATCCAATCAATATCATCTCATTCGATCTCTCTAAGATCTAAATTAATGTGTAGCCACCAACAATGAATCAAGTGCTAGCCGATCCGCAAGCACCACAGCAGATCCAACGCCCATTGGTTCGCTTGCCGTTAGCGACATCGTACCTCCAACACGCTAGTCGTCAATCACCGTCTAGGAACCATCCGCTGCTGAGCAACGACTCGGTAAAAAAGCCCGCAACAAATACGCAATCAACATAGAGGACGTCCATTGCTAGGCAACGGACGTATTTTCTATGGATCCGCCTCGATGCTATATAAGTAGTTCAGGAGAGGTCGTCGAAAGTCATCCCGTGTGGAGGCCGGGTCTAATACCTCCATCGTAGCCCTGCGAGTCGTAGGAGGCGACGAAAGGGAAATTCTTGAATCTTTGGCAGTAAAATATGGACGCATGTCCCACGGGACTCGGACCTGAGAATTACTGCGCTGTCGAGGATCAGCAGCAATTGTATACGACAGACCCTTCCTATCGTCAGAAAGAGCGTTGCACATCAACAAACTCACAACTGTCTGAAAGTAATAAAAATATTGTCGTAAGCCCCAGATGGGTGCTTTATTCCAAGACAGACTGACCAAATGACCGTCGGTCGTAACATAAGACTCAGACTCGCAGAAAGTCAAATTGATATCGGGTTCAGAATGAAGCTCGTCCGTGTATGCATTCTAGCAACAATAAATATTGTTATAGAAGTGTAGTATGTGGTTGTCTCTTCAAGCATCGACAATTCCACAACTGTTATCCTCCCACCTACGTTTTGGTCTTCCTAGTGGTCTCTTTCCTGGCTTTCCCACAAATATCCTATATGCATTCCTCTGCTCCCCCATTCGTGCTATATGCCCTGCACATCTCATCCTCCTTGACTTGATTGTTCTAATTATACTTGGAGAAGAATACAAGTTATGAAGCACCTCACTGTGTAGTTTTCTCCAATCTCTTGTCAGTTCATCTCTTTCTGATCCAAATATTCTCCTCAGCACCCTGCTCTCAAACTCTCTCAGTCTATGTTCCTCCCTTAATGTCAGAGAACAAGCTTATCACCCATACAGAACCACAGGAAAAATTATAGTTTCGTATATTCTAATTTTTATGTTTTTAGACAGCAGACGAGAACATAAAGTTTCTGGACTAAATGGTTGCAAGCATTACCCGAATTCAACCTCCTCCTAGTTTCTTCCTGAATTCAATTTTAATTTCTTATTGTCTTTCCCAAATATTTGAACTGTGCCACATTTTCAAAGGATCTGTTAGGTATCTTTACGTCACGATTTTACCCTGCATTCTGGTGAGGAGACAGCAACATACACGAGGGCTATTAGAAAAGTAATCTCAGTTTCTTTTAGGCAACTAATGTAGGAGCCGGGGAGAGCTCGCACATGCGAGGTAGCGTCACATCACTCGTTCCTTATAACTCATCATATAACTGGTCTCCTAGTGTTTGTTCTTGTCTCTACAAAGTGAGTTATAATGCGTCCTGCGATTGATAATCCCGCCAGCCGCGAAAATCGCGCTCTTATCCGCTTTCTCCAGGCTAGAAATACGAGTGCTGCGGAAATCCGTCGTAATTATGCGGGGCGGTTTACTGCGAAAATGTTATAAGTGAAGGAACTGTAAGGCAATGGTGTAGAATGTTCAAAGACGGGCGGGCGAACAGTGTTGGCGATGAAGAGCGAAGTGGCTGGCCATCTGTAATGAGCGAAGATTTTTTTGCAAAGTGCTGACCAAAAAATTTGTGAAAAACAGCGCTTCACAATTGCAGAACTTTCTTGTGAATTTCCATAAATTTCACGTAACTTTTCTTTGCGAGATTATTACAGTTAGGCTGGGCTGTCGTCACAACTATTGCGCAAAATGGGTTCCGAAAATGCTCACGTGTGCTCATAAGATGCAAAGAATGGCTTAGGCTTTGATTTTTTTGCAGGGATACCACAAAGATGGCGATGAATTTCTCAGTCACAGCATATGAGTAACAGGTGATGAAACCAGGATTTTATTTGTGAATATTGAAACCAAAGAGCAGCCAAAGCAGTAGATGCACACATATTCACCGATCAATGCGACAAAGTCTGAACAAAATTTGCCTGCCAGAAAGTTGATAGCAACTGTTTTCTTGGACTGGAAAGAGTGCGGATGGTAATATTCATGCAACAAAAGACCACAATAATGTCACAAGTGTATAGCGAAGCGCTAAAACTTCGTAGGGCCATTCAGAACAAAACGCGTGGAATGCTGACAACCAGTGTAGTACTTCTCCATGGCAATGAGCGCCCTCATATAACTGCTAGCACTCAAGCACTGCTGGAGCATTTAAACTTGGAGTTGTTTGACCACCCTTATTACAGCCCTAATCTCACCCCAAGCTTAATGCTTGAACCAGCTCTGAAATAGACATGGCAGTTTTATCAGTTTCTAGTAATGTTTTTATTGTAATCACAAAGGGTTGTACATAAAACATTATTAGAAATCTGTTGGCCCGATATCCTCATCAACACTGGCACTAATTTATTGTCCATATTTCAAGATGGTATACAACATTCGGTATCATTCACTGTCGATGGCATGGCTCACTGTGCCTCCTCTGCGGGTGTCTCCTCTGCTGGTGGATCTGGTCCGGCAACCATCTTCTTCAGGAAAGCTGAAAGAATGCAAATTGTGCATGAATACAATTTAAAATAAAGTTCTGAACTCCGTTTCCTATAATATTTCTCTGTGAATTATTAAGAATGCACCTCGTCTGCCATCTGTATAACAATATAGGCTATTCAAAGATTTACAAGGAATTAGAAATTCCAAAACAAACTGAATGTCTGCAGCCAGTACTCGAAATGGCATGATCACATGTAGAAAGTAATTAATAAATGATGTAAAATACAGCGCGCAAGTTGTTCATTGCTTTTAATACAATACCATTAGGTGTGGAAATGTTTTGAATCGTTCTCACGAATGGTTGAAGTTCTGAAGAACAATTTTGGCGTTATTTTTAAGAAAGTTTCACGTTGTTCCACATAAATTATGATTTTATTTAACATTTCATGCTCATATTCATGGGTAATAAATATTAAAATATCAGTTAAAATGTGTTTAGGGCAATCACAATGCAATTTGTAAACTATACACAGCAGGTAAGGCGCTCCTCCATGGTTCTTCCGACAACAATACACAGCGACTCAGCATTTTTGTTGTTTGTTTACTCTTAAAACAAGACGAAGGTAAAATATCCCTGTCACATTTCATTTCCCTATTTCCTGCGTTTACCATACACAGTAATGACATTTTAAGATTGCTTTACAAAACAATTCCATTTTTGTGTTATAAGAACAGGTCTTTCAACAAACACAGAGTTTTGTTTTGTTCTTACTAGATTTTTGAACCGTAAACAGAAAACCGAACTGCATAATTTTGTCGAATTTTGACTTAATCTTTTAAATGAAAGATATTTGAAAAGTTAACCTATAGCAGTATTTTCTTAACAACTGATTCAAGCCGGTTCAATCCTGCTCTGAAATACAACTTTTAGTAACTGATGTACTAGTATATTTGAAATAGAATGATCTTAATTTAATATTCTGGATGTAAATAGTAACACTATCAGGTCGAAATTTATTCCTGCGCCTGTTTCAGCTGCAAGCATTAGAAGAAGGAAGTGAAAAAAATACAATGTGTGAAGCACACTTCTCTTCCTGCACCACTGCACTTTCGTTACTGAGTCTGTATGCAGCATGGATGCAAGTACGTTTACACCCAGTGAGTGTGCTTGACAGGCGAAGAAGACAAATTTTAAACACAACTTGAACCAGGTCCATGATATGAACTGAAAAATTCTTGACAAATCTATAGATGTATTTCCATTTTACACAGAATATCCATATATCCCAGACTGAAGGAGAAATCTCATAAATTGTTTATAATCTCAAGTAAGCAAATAAAATGTCTGAGTCACGGAGATTATGATTACAAGAGAGTATTCTTTGATTATTTCCATGTTTTATGTCGGAATTTGAATGTGGAATTCTCAAAGCAACCACCCAAGACAACGTGAGTAACAGTTGAGGAGTGAACAAATAAAGATTATTTATTTTGGTCTGAATCCCTCAAGTTCTATCTTTATATTTTAATTCTATTCTCTTTCATAACAGCATTTATCCGCACACAGAGATATTGGGTTTTCGGACTTTATCCAACGTCCTGGTTTTTAAGATAACTAAGAAAAACACGACGTTTCGGAAACTGGATCTATTTCCGTCCTCAGGTGAGGGAAANTTATCTGACCTGGAAACTTTATTTTCGAACTGATATAAGATTATTACACAAAGCCCTGATGAGTTAGTATTGCATTATTGGTTAGTTTGCCGTTTATCTATCTACAGCTCTACAACCTTTGTGAACCTTGGCCGTTTTTGCAGTTTCTTAATCTATACACAGCCGGTACGATCCTTTGGACGGGGGATCAGCCCGCTCAGGGCCGCTACCTACACAGAACAACACAGAATAAAGGCACGCCTGGAGTGGGATTCGAACCCACAATCCCAGTGTTCGAGAAGGCGAAGACGGTTCATACCCTAGACCGCGCGGCCACTGTGATCGGTAGTTTGGCGTTTAAATATGTTTATATTTCTTATATTTTGTGTTGCCACTATTCCTCAAAGCACAAAATTAAAATCTTTATAAAAACAGAGTTATTATATGTGTGTTTATTGCGATATTAAGAGCGTCGAGTGAAAAGAAACGTCTACACATTATCCACAATTCTGTGTGTCATATGAACGTGAGAATAAACCTGCCTTAGCGTGGGAACCAATTAACGTGCAGTTTCTTTCATAAGGCTGAAACAAAATTGCTGCACCTTCTCTTAGGGGACTAGGAGTGTAAATATAAATGGTTTGGCTAATTAATTAATTAACTTTTTTAATTCGCTTAGTAGGGGGTGGAGTCCAACTGGGTCCACTCGGCACGGCGGCCACTGGGTGATTATGATGATGGAGAATTTGGTGGAATGAAGATTGGCAGGGGAAACCGAAGTACGCGGAGAAAACCCGCACCAGCGTCACTTTGTCCACCACAAATCCCACTTGACCAGACCCGGGATCGAACCCGGTCCGCCACGGTGGGAAGCCAGAGACTAACCGCTTGAGCTATGGCGCGGCCAAATGGTTTGGCTAAGGACAGGGTGCTACTTAATGGTCCTGTTGAGAGTGATGACTACACGCGTCTAATTATACTTGTATGAAAACGCAAAAGAAGTAGTTAGGAAGAAATTATTAGCCCATCAGCTCTAAAAATCTATGCCATAATTTGAAAACTAAATTTACTTATGTAAGAATAACATAAAATATGCATGCCATTTACAATATTTTGAAACGAAGAAAGTGAAAGGCAAAAATAAAGATTATGTGTAAGAACAACAAAAGAGTAAGAAGCAAAAAGCAAACATCGTTTATATATATTACAGTTTTGTTGGTGCATTCATTTAAATTGTCTTCTGAGCAGCATTGTCAGCATGCATATTAATGTACACTCCGCGTAATATTCAGCATTAGCTAAATAAAGTACGGTTTTAATGATGTTATGCTCCTCTGTGTTAGCGAGACGTTGCTTTAACCTGCAATACAAGCCCACATATTATCAACAGATGATCTACTTACGGTTGACGATATTCGGGTCCCTTACACCAGCACGTTTTTGAGAAATGCTGAAATCAGGAGGGCACATCACACTCAAACAATGCTCTAGAGGGGGTTGCCTTCCCCGAGCATGCTACAACATGAACTGGTAAACAGGATATAAACTTCTCACTCCAATTTGACACAGTGCAGGACCACGTTTCATGTCCTGGATTTCTGAGACGGGCCAGCCTCTTGAGTCTACTGGGGAATCCCATACAACATGCAATTTCAAGCAACTGAAGGAGTTGAACCACAAGCAATAACTGCTTTACTCCAAGCAACAATAAGAGTATTTACTTAAGGAATGTTTAAGTTTTACAAACAGTCAAACTATTCAATTAATGAATCTTCAAATTTATTAACAATTACACTCTTTACTTAAGGGATGTATACCACTAGCACTAACAGACTCTTCACATAAGGGATCGCGAATTATCAAAACAGATTGTTTACTTTAAAATATTTTAAGCACTAGGAATAATCTATTTGTCTAAGGGATATTTCAAAACTGGCAGTAATTTGACAGGTCTCCCAAGGGTTCCATCTATAGGTACTAGTAATAATCTAACACTTCCATTAATTAATACTAGCTCAATACAAGCACTACTTTATGACGTTTTCTACATTAACTATGTAATAATTCAACAATATTCTTTATACTGACTACACTAAAATGGTTTAAGTACGGGCTATTTTTCGCTAACATACTGGATGTTCGAAAACAGGCTGAAATGTAATAGCTTACTTAAAGTTTGTTTCAAGACAAGCAAGTTTCCAACAAAACACTTGAGACATTCCTAGATACTGGCTGTCCAGCAGTGTACCAGTATGTGTTGAATGTAACGGTATTCTAAGCCATAAAAAACCAACAATTTACTTAATTTTTCAGGAAGTGCCAAGGTAGAAATCATACACCATTAAAGTTTTTCCAGCAGCTTATTTACTTGCCTGTTCAAATGCAAGCAATAATTCATCAACCTACTATGGGACTTTGACTGATTTTTTAAAACAACCACTCAAAAATACAAATTGTGAAAGCAGATAGACTGAAACGTATCAGCCTTAAAGGCAGTTCACTCGTGAGAGAGAGTTGATGTACACAACAGCTAGTTGCCAGTCAATGCTCGGGAACCATGGTAACATTTCCCACGAAGAAGAGTGTCACATGTCTCAGTGTTTTGTCTGGAGATGCGAGCTAGGGAACATGCGACACGCAGTGGTACAAGCAACGGTACTTACGAACGTATGGAACGAAGCCGTCTTCATCCTCAGGCTCGCAACAGTCCCTAATGATTTCCTCTACTTCTTTATCTGACAGCCGCTCACCTGCAAGTGATACATCACACGATCATACCATTGCGTCTGAACCCAACCCATCTACCCGCGGTGTTCTATAGATGAAGCGAGTAGCGACAAACATCTGTATAGTATCCATGGAATAGAGTTCTTCTTCAGAAGCTAATAATCGTTCAGTTAATCATGAATTTAATAAACCCGAAAATTCTTTACCATGTTCAGAGTTGCCAGGCACTGGTCATCATCCTAAGCCACATTTATCTCACTAAAATGTTTTTTAGTAATACAGTGCGTACAATCAAGTGCGCGCCGCGGCTGCNAAGTTGCCAGGCACTGGTCATCATCCTAAGCCATATTTATCTCACTAAAATGTTTTTTAGTAATATCCTCCCATTTAAGTGCACGTCTCCGAAGTGTCCATTTCTGGGTTTACAGCTAAATTTTTTATACGTTTTCCGTCTCTCCTATGCGTGCTGCACGCTTCGCATTTCTTATCCCTTGATTATATAATTCTAAAAATTTATTTGCCGAAGAGTGTAAATTACAATCCTCATTATGCATTTCTTTCCTGTCTCGTATTACTTACCCTCTCTCCGATCAAAATATACACATCGGTATGCTGTTCTGAAACACCACCACCGTACATACTTCCATTAGTGGGAAACAAAAAGTGACATACTCATGTAAAATATGTAGAGTTTTAATTTTGCACATTTGAATATTTACTTTTTTTTTTTGGACGGGGAGACATGATTATGCACTCAATGGCAACAAAAATGATCTACATTTAAATTCGTCTTAGTTTCTTCGGGAACAAATGTTCCATTTGTAAGATTTGAGGCTTTCACGGCGGTGACTATGAAGAAAGCAGTCTTCTGGGATTTGGCACCGTGTATATGTGGTGTTAACCGACGTTTCGGAGGAACGTATCGCCCCCATCTTCAGGGTAGAAGAAAAAGTATAAGAATTCTGCAAGCGACAACACCGTGAGAAACGGTAAAGCAGTCTGCACGTATACACGGTGCCAAATCCCAGAAGACTGCTTTCTTCAAATGTTCCATTTGTTACTGTCATTCCCAAGTATTTCATTCGAACTTTTTTAAAAGTATGCATCTTGTTGTGTGTCAGGATATACAGTACAATGTGTATAATTGGGGCAGTTTACACAACAGCATCCCTGAAAAACAAAATAGACACTATTGTATCAACATTTGTTTTATATTGATGTTGACGCTACATGTTTCGGCCCTTATATTGGGCCATCATCAGGCGTATAATGATACTAGTCCTAGTTCTTTAATTGCATCTAATTTCAATATGGATCCATATTGTGTTCTTGTGAGTTTCAAAAGCATAAATTGAATTTTCAGTCAAAACTTAAATACTTAGGCAGTAAAATTTAGAATTAAAAATTAAAATACAATAGTGTCTATTTTGTTTTTCAGGAATAATGTTATATGTGGACTGCCCCCATTATACATATTATATATCCTATATTATTGGAGCTTTGCCATATTTCTGCATGATATATTTTCTGTATTTATGTTACGATTCTGTCTTTGCAATCAGGTGGCGAGGTTTGAATACGCGTGGAACAAAGTTTCAGCGAACCAGCTGAGAAGATGCGCGTTCAGCATTTCGTCTACTAACCGAGAGAGAGCAGTATATGTGAGAGCTCAGCCAGTAGCATCTTGCCATCCTCAGCCTTGTCGTACAGTTTCATACATTCCAGGAAGTCCTCATAGCATCCTACATCCTTGTCCTTCTTGACCTGCCCGAAGATCGGCAGGAACTCCTCCACCTTTATCTTCTTCTCATCTGCAAGAAGTGAAATTTACATCTGCCATATCTAACTCAAAAATATATTGATGTGACACAACACATTAACTTCACTGATGTTTTTATACCTCTGATAGGGGCCGGGATAGCGCAGTCGGTATAGCGACTGGCTACTGGCTGGACGGCAAAGCAATCGGAGTTCGAGTCCCGATATTGGCAAGCTTTTTATACTCTTCACACCGTCCAGACCTGCTTTGGGCCCACCCAGCCCCATATCCAATAGGTACCGGGGATTCCTTCCCAGCGCTCAAAGCGGCCTGGCCGTGAAGCTGACCACTGACCTCTAACTAGTGCCGAGATCAAGAATATGTGGATCTACACATCCACTCCCTCATATGTTTTCTTGCCGTAGTGCTTAATTAGTTAAGTTCATGGACAATTGTAGCTTTATACTTCTGATAATAATTTCTAAACTGATATTTATTTTGTAAAAATAAGTTTGTTAGTGTGTAGTAAGTATGTGTTATCTTGGGTCCACACCGGCTCTGGGGCCCAGCCAGCTTCATATCCTATTGGTACCGAGAAATCTTACATCGAGGTTAAAACGATCAGGGCGTGAAACTGACCACTCACCTCCACTAGTGCCAAGGTCAAGACTGGTGGACCCATACCTGCACTCCTCAATGCGTCGTCATGGCGTGGTACTTAATTAATTAAGTAGAGGAGCAGCTTTAGCTACGTTGACATAGTCACGATGAAGTATCTCAGATAATTTCAATCAAGCAAGAAAAGGCAGCAACAGCACTGCCTTCCTCGCCGATATGTGCAAACGCGGCTGACGTTCGCAGGCTTCCCTAGCAATTGTTATCATTCCTCTGACCAGAGTTTCTCTGTCGATACTGGGGAAACCGAGGAATCTTCACCGACTTCTTACAGACCCTCCATTCTAGTTCCTGTCACAATGCGTTTCTCGATCAGTTATTATTTCTTCACATGTGCAAGAAAGGCTATGTTATCAGTCCCACTGGGCCGGATCGCATTATTTTCGTGAAAATATATTTAGTGTTATTCTTCCGCCTATACAAATATCACAAAATGTTTGGTACCAGAATGTTAACGTGCTTTTCTCCTACTGCCCTCTGTGTGCTACATTCTCGACCAACTTCAACTACCTTAATTCAATCATCCTAACAATACAAGAACATATCTTTTGGTATGTAACGCCGTGTAGTCCGTTGAAAGTCAAGCAACGTTTAACATGTAGCCTCCTTATTCAGGGTTGAAGAATGAACGAAGGAAGAAACCAGCGTGCAGAGTTAGCCAACTGCTTTCACGCTAGTTTCTTGCTTAGCTTATTTATTTATTTATTCTCAAAATTGAGGTGACATGTTCCTCCGAAATGTCGGTTAACTTTCAATGGTCTATGCGGCGTTACATCCCAGGAGATAGAAACCTTTTCAGTTATGTAATCTCGCCAGCGCCCTGCTCTTTCAGCTCTCTTACGTCCACGCTTTCTCTTGGTCATTTTGTTTCCAAATGGACTTACCTTGTAGTACGCGTAGGGCTATAGGTTATGTACTTAAGGTTCACAGCATCACACCTGACACTAAACTGAAAGGTAACTTATTTTTGGTCATCTACTACAGCTGAAGCGGAGTATTTAAAAATTCCTAAGTAACTGCAACGTCCATATTTCAGTGCCCCAAAGTCGTTCTGGACCCAGTGATGCACAAGAAACTGTCTCTCAAAGGGATCGAACCGAACCATCCTCTCTGTATATTGTATAACTGACGACGCTGTATGTTATTCAAAGGCGCTTCATATGTTATGTGACGTTATAACAGAAACATTGTGAATAAAGAATTAAGAAGGACGTCGAAGAAAGCCCCTGTCAGAGGTTTTAGTGTTCTTTTTTGTAGGGTCTGGGAGGAACTCCGCAAAGAATATAATAGTCGGTCTCAGATCTGAACTTAGGTCCTCCCACAAGCGAAGCAGGAGTGCTGTTTGCGCCACTGAGAAGTCTACAGCCACAATTGCACACCTTGACAACAACTAATGCAGGTACGTGTTGACGCAGTGTGAGACTCAATGACTCTGTATCAACTACTCACTCTTCTTCTTGGTGCCGCCCACCTTCTCAATGACGGCAAGGGTCGGATTGAGGTTGAGCCCGCGCAGGATGTCTCCTATGTAGAAGGCATCCACATTGCCATTGCCATCGAAGTCATAGATAGAGAATGCGAAGTTCGCCCCTGAAACATCGGCAAACGGTTCTCAAAACAAGAAGAAAGAAACAAACGAATAGGAAAATATGAATGAAAAGTAAACGTAAGTAAAAGTAAAGCTATCCCTGTACCAGGCCGTGAAGGCCCATAGGGTTGTGAGACGTTGAGGGTCCCACATTATCTAGACAATCGGCTCAGAGATGGCGGTAAGGTTGTCAGCCTTACGCGCCGGCCACACTTTACTCCCCAGGATAATTACTTAATTAATTCCTGGTACTCATTTATGTTAGAGGCTGAATCGACCCTAGGGCCATAGTGCGGCTGGAAGGATTAGGTCAATTGAAAAAAAAATCCAATGGCCTCATCGGGACTTGAATCCGCGACCTTCCGGCTTGTAGCATAGCCCCCTCAACCAATTACGCTACCGCGTGCCCCATGAAAAATAAACGTAGCAAGGAAAACGAAGGAGAAAAGGCTCCCATATTTTCTCTAGACAATCTCTAGACAATGGCGGTAAAGTTGTCAGCCTTACGCGCCGGCCGCCCTTTACCCCCAGGAAGATTCCTGGCACTTATATTTCTTAGAGGTCGAGTCGACCCCAGGGCCATAGTGCGGCTGGAAGGATTAGGTCAGTTGCAAAAATCCACCTCATCGGGACTAGAATCCGCGACCTTCCGGCTTGTAGCAGAGTGCCTCAACCAACTACCTACCGCATGTTCCCTGTCTCCACAAGATGTGATGAGAGTATTCATTATATTGGAAATGTTATTAAAAAGATATGTGCATGAGATCTCCATAACAATACGCGTGCTACTGGAACTGAAAGACATTTTTGGCATCATGCAAAAACGCCGTTTTCAAAATCAGTTTCACTATATCAGTAAATAGGCTTAGACTATGTTGTCGGTGAGACTGCACAATATTACATACAATGAACTGCCTTCTTGAAGGAAAAAATTAGACTTTTATTTTTCATGCCTGCAGAACAGAGCTATATTAGTGACCTTTTCTAGAAAGGTTTCAACCTTTCGAACTAGAAGACAAACGTCGGAACTGAATTTTTTAAAAATTCAGGTCGCGTGCAAGATCACTCAGATCAATTTGAAATACTGAAAGCGGTTCTGTACATGAGCAGTATGACTCAATTTACTATAACTTAAGAAACACTACGATTAAAATACACCAGGATAACTGAGAGAAATTAAGTGAATAATTGGCAAATAAAAGTCAAGTCGCAAGCTGTGTGACAAAATCGAACAAGGATGGACATGTCATGAACATGAATATGAAAGCAATGGCGGACAGAAACTTATAAAGCAGGGAAGGAGAAAGTGGTAGACCCCTCCACTTCTTGTTATAACGTATATAAATTCCCTAGCCACTCAAAAACTGTGGGTCACATATTTTGTTATTTTCTTAATCAGCTTAAAAAACAAACACAAACAGGACAACAAAAATGTGTCTGTGACAAAGACCTTGTAGAACAGTATTATCGTCAATAACAATGACTATGAAGCGAACTAGAACTTAATATGTCGGCTCTCTAAATTTAACGTTGTGACGTCACGGCTGGTGTCGACTCCATATTAAGCGGTGTAGGGGCGACGTTAAAATTAGAGACCGGGTGAGGCGGATATTTTCAGACATTCAAGCTGCTCCTGTATTGTTCGATAAAACTAAAAACATAAGATGGTAGAAGCTTTACGCATATGTGCTTGGAAAATCATATCCTACAATTGTCTTAAGTAATTAACGTGTAAGGCCGGTCACAGTAGCCGTGCGGTCTAAGGCATGAATTGTCTTCTCTCGCTCGAATGCTGGGATCGTGGTTTGGAATCCCATTCAATGCAAGGAAGTTTGGTGTGTGTATGCGTTTATTCTGTGTTTGTGTTGTCTTGTGTTGTCCTGTGTTCAGGTAGCGGCATTACGACGCGCTGATCACTCGTTCAAGGAGTCCTACCGTATGTGAAAAATGATTACGGAACTGAATAAGAGGTCAGGGTCCTGAATGGGCTGGAAGAAGTATTGAAAAAAATTAATGTGTAATATTTTCATTAGTTTAATCATTCCTTAGATCCACCTGTAGAAGAACTGAGCATTGGAAATGTTATTCTAGTGAAATTTGAGAAAAACTATCGACAGAATGAGATCAGTTAGTAACTTCCTAGCAAATCGAACAAATGCAATACAAAACAACAAAACAAAAGAAACAAAATCCATGCTTTTAGTCCGCAAGAGAACTATACCGACTGAGCGACCGCCGCTTGTTGGCGAATTTTAGTGCCAACTTAGCGGATAGAGGGTATCGCGTGGTCAGCGCAACGAATCCCCACGGCCGTTAATTTCGGGTTTCTAGACCGGAATACAAAACAACATAAATACAAAACAGGGACAAGGGGTTGTAATTTTCACAGCACATCCTCAAATTTACGACCGTGGAACACGAAGTAAAAAATTTAACGTCTCTTTCAAATTTGCATCCGAAAAAAAAATGTTTTTGTATGTCTATTTCGACCACTCAGTTCTTCGTGAAAATATATAATTTATTTTAATAGAAACAAATACTGAAGACCGAAATAAGAACAAGAACTTTAGGGAAGAAATCATAAAGTTTAGTTCCTTATTGGAGACTTTCAGTCTTAGAGATCTTGTAATTAATATTTTATTTAGATAGTGCAAATTCGTGGTCTAATAATGAAATAAAATTAAGCTCCTGGCCTGTGGTGTTGGACTCTGGACTCGTAACCAAATTGTCACAGGACAGATTCTTACTGATTAAAATTCTTACTGACTGCAGTTGCAAATGCTGTATTATTATTATTATTATTATTAATATTANTATGGTAACATAAACTCTTTCAGTTCCCTATACAAAGTGCGTGTCAGTCCCAGCTCAAAAATTCGTCTATCCGCTATGTTGATACTACAGATTTCAGGAAAATGAGAATACTGGGGTGGCCCCTAATGGCATGCCCATTTCCATTTTCATGATAATCTGTTAACTATTTCAAAAGTCAAAACGGCCAAACATGCGGAAGTCACGATGATCGCATATGTGTGATTTAATTCCTCAAGGAAGGAATGTATATTGAAAAATATGTCAGACAGGTATTAAACGATTCTATAATCCATAAAATTCATTGCAGACCACAAACAACACAAACAACAAGATATTATAATATTGAACCTCAGTCTACGGAGTGTTAACACTCCAGCCTTGTAATCGGGGAGCTTGGTGGGGGTGCCCGTTTCGAATATCGGCCAGGTCACCAGCTATCCAGAGATTTTTGCGGTTTTACTCAGTCTTTTTACATGACTACCGGGATAATACTAAAAAAATCTTAGGTTTTCGGTCCTCCTAAGCGTCAGTAAATTTCTGCAAGACTCTAGATATCACATCCAGAAGATGGTGTTCTTCAATACGGTTGAAAGTTGCATAATAAGAATTATCTTAACTGTCACGCGAAGATTTCGAAGTATGAAAAACTTCGGTGGTCAAAATTAAGTGCCACCCGCAGTGTGCAACAACACGACACTACTTCACGTGCACACACTTGAGGTACTCACTCTCAATATCTCGTGCGCTGAGGTCGCTCTGAAAGATAAAAACGAACCATACATGAGTGGATGAAAGCGAACATGAACCATCCTGACATATTACATATCTGTCACTACTGCCTGTTCCCAGTGACTAAAGTATCATTTGCTAATCACACATTGAAACCCATATAGTGTGAAGTTTAATATGTAGACGAAGTTGCACAGGGACGGTGGAGTGAGTGCTAAAATTGGAATACACAGTGTAACTTTAAGTTTTGTCAATTTTGTACCAACTTATACTAATAGTGAATCAATTATTTTATCTTCAACATTAATTAGGTCCATTTATATTGTGTCTTGTATTATTTATATGTATAAATTATTTGTGTGGAGGCCATAACACAAATATAGCAGCTAGATTTAACAATTAAATTAAATGTACATTAATAATAATAATAATAATAATAATAATAATAATAATAATAATAATAACAATAACAACAATAACAACGGTAAGAAAAAAAAAAGAACACTCACAGCCATTGTAACGGGACAAGAAGGACTTCCTGGTTGCTAACTGTACGAAGTCTGGACCAGAAGTGGTGCCCGGACGTTGCCAGTTGTTAGTTTTTATCGGTGCCTAGAGGTCGCCAGCATCAACATCTCAGATTGCCTCACCCCAGCAAAGCCCCAGAAACAAAATGTGCGTCCGCGAGATGTCAGACCTATCAGTTAGCCCTAACACGGCACTGGATCTAATTCCTAGTGACTTAGTTGCAGGTTAAAAATAGTCCCATGCTGTTGCTAGAAATGTAGGTTATGCCTCTGCAGACTTGTGACATCACAGCTCATCTCCGATCCTTGCATTGTTACGAGGAACTGGAACAACAATTTTACTGCTATCAGCCGTTTGCAGTGCATGATAAACGTTTAATTAAGTGCCATCTTCAAATTGTAGCTCCCCCCCCCCAATTGTCACCATCCTTAATATGTTATATAACAATACTACCAGAGTAAGGGGAGCACTACGCTACAAGCCGGTTCGGTTCCTGATGAAGTCATTGGATTTTTCAACCGACATAATCCTTCCAGCCGCATTATGGCCCTGGGGTCGACTCAGCCTCTAACAGAAATGAGTACCAGGAATATTCCTGGGAGTAAAGGGCGGCCTGAGCGTAAGGCTGACTACCTCACTGCCATCTGTAGGCCGGTTATCTAGAAAACGTAGGAGCCTCGACGTCTCACAACCTGATGGGCCTCCACGGCCTGTTACAGGGATAACTTGACCTTACCGAGAGTAAGGCGATCCCTTATTTCAGAAGCAGTAAGAGAGAACACACGAAGAACTGGAAAATGGAAAGCAGAAACAGAGGACTTGATTTTCTTAGTTCTAGGTTTTCTCGTGTTAAAATATAGCATAAACAAACTATGAAGAAGACTATCTCTTTAATCAGAAATGCAATTTGTTTGTGATGATTTAAGTACATCCACTGAAAGCATTAATCCCGAGATATTAACTGCTTCAAAGCAATTATAGAATAGAGCACTCGAGAGTGCTTATTGCATCAGACAAGGAATCTGCTGCAGTATTACAGATTTTGCGTAAAATTGATTAACAATGGAGTAAAGTCAAGTTTGGATTCGTACCCCACATCTGACAATACTTTTAGGGCCGCGCCATAGCTCAAGCGGTTAGTAGCTGGCTTCCCATCGCGGCGGCCCGGGTTCGATTCCGGGTCTAGTCAAGTGGGATTTGTGGTGGATAAAGTGGCACTGGGGCAGGTTTTCTCCGAGTACTTCGGTGTCCCCTGCCAATCTTCATTCCAGCAATTGCTCCACAATCACCCTCACCTATCATCTGGGGCTGGTACAATAGGCCAGAAGTGGCCGCAGTACAAGGGACTTACTCCCACCCCACTAGCAATAAAAGAAGTCAAGTTTAGTGAGAGAAAAGTTATTTCATGAGCACAGACAAAACACGCAAATTTTCCCAAAACATTTGTTGTCTACGGAAATATCGCAGACCACAAACAATAGGCATTTTATATTCATTTTGATTTTCTCATTTTATTTTTAATCAGAGAATGTAAGTGACACCAGGTTCTAGAAATTTGGCTGGTCTTTTAGCCAGAATGAAGGATAAAATCATGAAATGCGTAATAAATCCTCATAAAATGTAAAGGAACTGAGGTATGGCAGTACCGAACCCAATTGGCACTAAATTCGGAAAAGCTCACTATCATTCAATTCCGAATCTTTTAACTTCCCGTCTCCTACTCACAAACTAGGAATGTTCCACTTACACAATTAATCTATATTAAATTATCACACAAACATTGCGTTTATGCCATATACGCACAGTGTATGGCGACAGCCTGCGAGTCAAAACGTTGGTTGTAGTCACAGTCACATTTTCCTAACAATTAATTCCTCTGATAGTAATCAGTTTCCGGGCCCGGCAAAAAATTTGCCGTGGAGCAGTAGTTGTGATACACTACTCATCGTAACAGTGGAGTGAACTGTTAACGACTTACTGGTTACATCATACAAAAAATAAAAAGTCAATTCCGACAGAGTAAATAGATTTTTCTCTCCTTTACAATCTCTAATCTTCCCTTGCATTATTAATACAAAGTTCGTCTCAAATACAATAAAGGCCGGAACCTTCGAATTATTCAATTTATAGCTAGTTTCCATATCTCACCCCCTCCTCCGATCCATTCTCATGCATTAAACCACGATTTCCCTTGAATATGCACGCTGTCAACAATGAGAATTTTCCTTTCACAAAGGTCGAGACAGCAATGCTGAATGAAACATGCATAGCTCTCACTGCCTTCTGGAGGCCCTGCTGACAACTCTGTTACATAACGGCAGACTGCCTATTTGTAGGCTTGGTTCGCGACAGTGGATTTGCGTCTCTGCAAGATCGCATTGTACACGTTGTAAAATATGCGTACTGCATAGGAATATTTGTTCATACTGTCACGTGCATGGGTGACTAAAGATGGGGTTCGGATTGGTAATTGGATTTATTAACAACCTATAGGTCGTAACTACAATTAATTATAACACTTACACTAATTCTTACACTACAAAGAACTCCAAGCTTATTCTTCAGTCTATCTTCACGGATTTATAACACAGGAGCTACAAAAGTCTAACTAAATCACACACTCTCAATATCACTGTGCTACAGCACGCATGAAATCTTCAAAAAACTCCGTAGCCTGTAGACCGTAAGCGAAATATATCAACCGAGCGACCGCCGTTTGTCGGCGAACTTAGTGCCAACTTTTGCGGATAGAACGTGTCGCGTGGTCAGCCCAACGGATCATCACGGCCGTTAATCTCGGTTTTCTAGACCGGAGCCGCTATTTCCATGAATTATCTCCTCAATTATCCTCACGAGGCTGAGTGGACCCCGTTCCAGACCCACTACTCCTCAGAAAAATCTGATGGCGCCGGGAATCGAATGTGGGACCTCTGGATCTGTAGCCAGAAACTGTGACCACTAGGCCACAGAGGCGGTCATGAAGTCTTCAAATCACATGCTAAATCTTCGCAGGTTTACTTCCTGTACTCCTCGAGCTTACTGCTTTCTTGCTTGTTCGTGTGTTTTTGCTGCTACTAGTCGTAACTCGTATCTGACTTGAACGAATTCTGTCACCTACATAGCCGCGGAACGGAAATGGACCTACGGTAAACACATATCACATGATAGCTATCCGGCCAGTCTATTGGCGTGTCGATCCGATCTACAGAAAATACAGCTTCCTCTATATAGCGTGTTGGACCGTGTGTGCAGAGCTGTTGCCTGGCAACGCGATGATCAAATCATCTACAATATCGAAATATTGACTCTGCCGGCTATACACATGAAAGATGGCAAATCAGAAGGCAGACTTGTACATAATATATGGGATTTTGTGAACAAAGGTAACAGTGAATTCGCCGTGGACGATTTCGAATGTCAGTCTAAAAACATTGGGTGTTACAAATGTAGAAATAGTGTACGGAATTTTAATATCGATGCGTAATTTCATGTTGCTTAGCTTAAGCCTGTAGCTTCTATACATTTACATATTACTTTTGAAGAATAGTAGACATAATTATTTCAGGAAAAAATATATTCATTTCGGACTCTCATACATTGGGCGGGACAAAGCGGTCGGAAGTACCCGGTTAAAATATCGAACAGGACAGCGGTCGTTCTGACTAATGTTTATTTTGTATCCTCCTTGAATGGTCCAGGATGGGGTAATAACTGTTGACAAACTGCAACGTCTTCCTTTTCATTCCTTTATAATTCATGCTGGATAATAATTTCATTTTGCCCTACTTAAATTTGCAAAAGTTGCGGCGTCCAATGTAACTTAAAAAGAAAAGGCACCATCTTTTACGGTTTTCATTTCTTTGCTAAGCAAATAAAAACGGAAGTCTTGTCCTACATGCTTACATTTCTTGTATACGTGTATTTAAGTCGATTTGCGAGAAATTGGGTCTAGGTAAGACTCTCTCGAATCTGAAGCCTAGATTTCATGTCTATGCAGAGCAAATGTCTTTCTGCAATCACGCGAAATGTCACAATATCAAGCCACACGTAACTCATTTGTGTATCTCTTCCGTGGCATGATAGGAACATCTCACACTCAAGTTCTAGATATATACAAGATCTTAGCCCCCAATCCTTGCAAATTCCTCCTAAAATAGACCAGGGAACTCAACACGGAAAGAATGCGCAGGTTCCGTGAGCTTCACGCGTCATGCCACACACCGGCGTCTCGCGAAACACATACAACATCTAGAAGGACTTTTATTTGATTTTTAGGCCATTTAATGTTCCTGTGTAAACATCACGTATTTCATAGCACCGAATACAAAAATACAACAGTCATGAAAACTGTGCAGAATAGGTCTAAGAATTCGGAAGGAGACGGTCGTGACCTATTTCAACGTATNATCCAATTGTAAGTCTTTCTCAACACCGCGGTGAGGGGGCGGGGGGAGGAGAAAATTGAAGCAGCAAAATGGAGATATACGTTGAAAAACACCAATGGCTTCAGCGAGATTAGATTATAATGTGTTATGTTTTGTTCATGTCTGGGCACATCCTGTCAAAACGTCTTGTTGCCAGACATGTTTCGATCTGTATCGGAAATGTTTCTCGAATAGCAGAATGTTGAGATACTGTTTCAAAACAGCTCAGAGACACAATTGCAAGATGTTTCTATATCATATTTCAGATGTGTGACAGAGTAAGAAATATTAAGTGTAGGAGCACGCAGTGGTGACTAGCCATTAGAAAGACTGTGAGATGTGCATAGTTTTCTTTTTTGTATTAGTAAAATTGCTTGTGCAGGTCACAGTGGCCGTACAGTCTAAGGCATGAACTGTCTTCGCTTGCTCGAATCCCATTCATGGCATGGATGTCTGTATTGTGCGCGTTTATTCTGTTTGTGTCATGTGTGTAGGTAGTGGCCTTGCAATGTGCTGATGGTGCTGATCCTCCAATGAAGGAGTCCTACCAACTGTGTACAGGATCAAGAAACTAAAAAACTGGCCTGTACAGCCATAATTATATAAAAGTCCCTGTGCTTAGCTAATTAAACACTATGTCATTATGTAGATCTACGTGAAGGCTGAATCCAACCCTCTGCCTATTCAGATGCCATATTCACTAAATTTTACTGCATTAAATTTGGCATGGGGGATTTAAAATTTGATGGAGAAATTAGGTGTCTCTTCAATTAGCAATTTACATAAGAAATTAAACATTTTCTATGTATATTTCTTGTAGTTTGATAAAACATACATATGTTAACACAACATAGAAACAAATCTGGAACTCCAAGTTATAAACTTCCATTTAAAATGAAGTCAGATTTCACCATCTCTAAGGCAGTGTTTCTCAACCACTGGGCCACGGCCCGGTACCAGGACCCAGCATAAATTTTACCAGGCCCTTGTCTTATAGAAAAAAGAATTTACCGGGCAGCGGTCTGACGAAGGTTGAGCACCACTGGTCTAAGCAGCATGCTGTGAAGGTGTAGGCTACAGGCCCCATTGAAGTAAAGCATTATGAATTGATTTTGAAATTATCATAGAAAGTTGGGTATGAGAACCTCTGCATGTGTGTGTGTGTGTGTGTGCCTGTGTGTGTCTATGTACGTGCACATGCATGTGCTGCGTACAGTGTAATAGAATAAAATCATGACACAGAAAACTGTATTTACTTTTCTACCGATAGAAATAACTGAAAATCTCTACAGTTATATCCAAAGTTCAAAATACAGAGATAGAGTGAAATTTTGAGCTTAGGCTACTCTGAAGTGGATATCTATACTTTGTTGGAGAGTTCTAGAATGCATCTCCTAAGATCTCTCCAGTTTCAATGCCCATCTCACAACTCTCCCTTCGCATGGGGTGCTTTGGTTGCACAAACAAGACTCCAGTGAACATATTATGCTGGTAATATCAAACCATTTATGGTTTTTTGGATGTTAAGAGCATACTGATACCTAGGGCAACAGGTTTATGACATACATTAGGATAATGCAGGCCACCTCTGTATGTTACACAGTACATTTAACCATACAGCTGCATGTCTGTTTTTAAATAAGGCCTCTCTACCCATACTGTCAATCTTGTGTGGTAGATTAATTCTAACATGGAGAAATGGTTACATAAAACTTGCCTCTGTAATGAATGGCAGAGTTGCCCATTTCATACAAATGGAAACCCTCAAACTGCCTATGGCTTCAACAACCTTATTTGCAATCCAACTTGCATTTCAGTTTCATTCCCTTATCTGTCTTCCTTGTATGGTGCTCAGTTAAAGAAGGGGACAGTTTTATGTCACCGTTACCTCTCACATTTCTGCAGATTTATCTACTGCACAAATATTTTCATTGGGCTGTTATGAATTCATGTTTTGTGGGGGCTTCACCAGCCTGGTGTCCAGTCTGCTTTTGCTGTCTCAAAACAATGACTTCCTTGTATGGTGCTCAGTTAAAGAAGGGGACAGTTTTATGTCACCTTTACCTCTCACATTTCTGCAGATTTATCTACTGCACAAATATTTTCATTGGGCTGTTATGAATTCATGTTTTGTGGGGGCTTCACCAGCCTGGTGTCCAGTCTGCTTTTGCTGTCTCAAAACAATGATTTCCTTGTGCTCTGACCTGCCACTACTACTATCTCCATTTTATGTCAGAAATCTTTCAGCTTGTAATTCCTATTCTGCCTCACTATGCAACATGGCCCAGAGACTGAAACAGTGGTGGGCTAGTATAGCGGAAACTAGCTCGTTTGTAACAGAACCTGGTCTGATGCTGCAAATACAATGTATATGATCTTAGGCCAGTTCCATTCACCTCCAATCCCCAAAACCTATTACCCTAACATTTATTGTACCATTTTCCTACCATGTCTTTCTTGATGTTTCAAGTGGTTACTTTCCCAGAGGTTTTTGCTTAGTTTTGTAAGCATTCCTTGCCTCCACTGTACAAGCTACACATTCAGTCCATTGTGAGCTCTTAGACACAATCATTCTGATACTAGATGGTCTGCATAAGAGAGGCACTCATTGCACAATATAGACAAGCCTCTTAAACTGCACAGACTGAAGTGACCAAGACAACATTTGAAGGACATGACTCTATCAACTAAATGTTATAAACTGTTTCCTTGTATGGATCTAGCATGTTGCCATAATACATGCCAACTTTCATGAATATTCATTGTCCATGATTTCAATTTGCTGACAGTTTAAGCAGTGGATCCAGTCTCCATGTCATGTTGCATCAGTATTACACTTGAATGTCTCTTGATTATATATACTGCCTTTCCATGGTACAACAGACTTGCGAATGTTTAATACACTGCCCTGCCCATTGTACACACAAAAAAGGGTAACATTATTGTGGAAAATATTTCAAATAACATGGTTTAGTCATTCAACAGAGTATTTTTTTAAATTTCTAATTACATGGGTCAGCCTGAATAGCGTAGTCGGTATAGCGACTGGTTACAGGGCTGGACGATTGAGGGGTCAGAGTTTCAGTCCTGGTAGGGTCAACAATTTTCACTTCTCCAATCATCCACACCAGTTCTGGGATCCACCCAACCTCCTATACAATGGGTACCGGGGGCTCTTTCACAGGGGGTAAGGCGGCCGGGGCGTGAACCTGACCACTCACCTCCAACTAGTGCCGAGGCCAAGAAAATGTGAACTTATACATCCACTCCTCCATGCGCCTTCATGGTGTAGTGCTTAATTAGTTAAGCACAGGGACAACTTTACCTTTACCTGATTACATGGGGGTCTTCTATGACTCAGGTACATATACAGAACCTGATTCTTATACAAGATATAAAACATCACATTAAAAAACACTATGACATTCAGATTTTATTTCTCAAAATAGTACAGAAAGGGAGAAAAATAAAAAATGATAGACTAGATATAAATCCTCAACCTACTTACTAAATTACGTGAACGTCCACTCAGTTACACTATGTTTAGACATGTATCCATTGTAGAAGTCCTTTGGTGACATTGGTTTCTTGCCAGGCACAACAATGGCTCTGAAGCTAATCCACTTAGTGTCTGCACACAACACACGCAGGACACGACTCTTATGATCCAACTCCACATAACCAGGTCTATTTAGTAGCCAGCTGTTCCCAGTCTGTTGCTCCTGCTTAGAAGTTCCAATCTCTAATGATGGTTCCAGCAGCTTTATGGGTAGTCCATGCCATGTTGTGGACAATGAGTATAATCCCGTTAGTGCCCGGTGCAGATTATAAACCTGCACTGCAGCCATGTCCTGCCACTTAATGGCTGCCAGAGAAGAAGTAACACGAGGAGCTGCCGGCACATATATCAAGCATAAGCCATATGAAATAACTGTGAACTCCTGACTCTCTGTGGTAAAGGGGGGGAGAAAGAGTACGGATAATTAAAACCAACATATACTCCAAAAATTTGGAAAGCAAGTCCTGTTCAGTGCTAACATGCCAGCCTGAGAAGCAATAAAATAATAAAGTATAAAGCCGCACATCATTGTGCAGCATTACTGATACATATTACTGAAACAGACATAATGAGCAATATTTAAATCATCAAAGGAAGTGATAATTAGCGGGTTCTGTAAGTAATGTAGTTAATCCACAAAGTGGGTAATTCAGCATCTGCTGATGTCTTAAATCTTATCGTAGTAACAAGTTCTCATTTTTGTGTTCTTTTTACAGAAATAAGTTTTCATTAAATATATAATACATGTATCATTCAACAAAAGATTATTTACATTTACACAAATAAAACATTAGCCAAGATTTAAAGAATAGCCCTTAATTTTATATATACAGTCATTATAACAGTGTTTTTTCATGATTGGAATTTGATTCAATTATCCAAATCTTTGATTAACTGAACCACATCTATCACTGAGTAATTTGCATAATCAAAATGGTACTGTACTTAGAAAGTATATAAAAGACCATAATTACATAAAGGAAAAAAAAATGCAGGAAAATTTTACCAGTTAGTACACCTTGAAGAAAGACAAGAAGGGGATGTACCATTAACCATATTTCCTATTATTCACTGCCACTGAAATGTATAGCGATTACCAACCAGCAGAGTGTGGTTGATATAGAGCACTAGCACATCTGAGCCTCCCATGCAAACATTCATGCACCGGTACTGTCTGACATTACATTTTTATATATTCTCATATAATCACATGTCAGAAACTGCAGAATTGCTACAGATGCCACAGCTTTCATCTCACAGCCAAAGAAAGTCCATTCCAAAATGTCTTATTCAGACAATCAGATTAATTCTGCATTACATGACAGAATTTTTACTTCTGTGTAAGAAGTTGCTGGCTACTCTCATATACTACCATTGGAAGAAGTAAGTAATTGTATATAACATCAGGTTTCTTTTGAATCTAAACACTTAAAACAGACAACAAACTTAAATATTAATAATAATAATACAAGAATACTTCAAAAGAAAGAGGACCTGAAAAGCACACTCATGCATGTAATACATAGTTTTGATCTCATTTTTTGCAATACTGCACCATTTTTGGCCTCTGTGTTCATTTATTGTCCAAACAAATTTATTAACAGAAATAATCAATAAGATATATTATATTGCAACCATAAATTATGCTCTCCTTTTATTTTATCAAATGTATGCCATATTAAAAAAGGTTTGAAATAAAAATTCTTGGCAAGAGATTTAGTTTATATCATGCATCTATTCTTTCACATGAGACACTGGATATTTTCTTTTTCAGCCATGTGAACATGATGTTTTGAAAGACTACTGTACACAGATGATTGGCGATATGTTCAACTGGCCAGGCAAACTGTAAACCATAACACATACCATATGTAATACCGAAGTCTGGCTGGGGTACAGACTTATGAAGGCAGTGGGGCAGGTCTTTCAGAGTCTCCTGAAGAAGTTTGGCTCCAAGTTCAGCTAGTCGTACCTTCAGCATTGGTGCTGTGTCTGTAGGAGTGATAGGGCAGCGCTCCTGGAGAACAATATTGCCTACATCAAACCTGCACAAGGAGAATGTGATGTATCTTTCAAAAGCTGGAAATGGAAGGCCTACTTTAACCCTCTCTGGTATAGGGCACAAGTTACCCAACAACCAAGATAATACAGTTTTCTCTCTGGTGTCTTACAGATCATTAAAGAGGAAGTCTACTACAAACCTGCAATCTCAGTCATCTGGAGCATTTCTGTTTACACAACAGGGATCACGTAAACCATATATACTTACTCACTTACTTACTCATGGAGCTGAGCCCTTCTGGAGGAGCCGCCAATTCTGCAGCTACTCAAGAATTTCACAGCATTTTATGGCACCCGAATGTTCACTACCATGTTATCAACAGCCCTGCACTGGTCCCTATCCTGAGCCAGATCAATCCAATCCATACCATCCCATCCTATCTCTCTAAGATCCATTTTAATATTGTTCATCCACCTACACCTTGGTCTTCCCAGTGGTCTGTTTCCTTCTGGCTTTCCCACCAATATCATATATGCATTCCTCTTCTCCCAAATTCCTGCTACATACCCTGCCCACCTCACTCTCCTTGAACATAAACCATACATAAATACATAACCGCCCAAGGTTATCAATTCTGTCTTTCATCTGTCCCTGTCTCCACACCACAATGCTTAGGTACACAGATGACCTTACCTTTATCTTTAACCTAACATAATCATAATTACCATTATCCTCTACTTCAAGATAGACTTTTATTAGCCTGTTCCATGTCAAAGCCTATCCTCCTGTTGTCATCCAACACTTCTTCATCCATTTGGTTGGTAATTCCTAACTTCTTTGGTCACTCTTGAAAGGTCCATTCTTAAGACTTCTTATGCCATTTGATTTTGTAGTCTTGGATTCTTTCTGCTAAAGCACATATCTGTATTGCACTGCAAATTGTCATGTCATGGTCTGTAATTGCATATCCAGAGATATGCCTTATAAAGTGCATTTCTGCTGTTTCAATTTTCCTCCTTTTAGAACTGTTAAAAGCCCAGTTTTCACTTCCACACATAAGCACAGAAGCTACTACTTCCTTACAAATTTGTGTATCCTTTCTGGTTTTATTTTTTAGCATTCTCCATATTTCTCCACAGGTATGTTGAAAGCTAAACAGCTTCTTTTCAAGATCGTTGTCATACATGTATCTGTTGCAATCCAGGTAACTACAGCTCTGAACTTGTTCAGTTGTTTTAACATTTATTATTGTCTCTGATTTAAATGCACATTTACCTTGAAAAGCCATTCCTTTGTTATTGTTACTATTATTAAAATTTCCATATCACAGCTATTTGTTATGATTTGTGACTGATAAATAAACAAGTAGAAATCCTATGACTTAGTCATTCACATGTATAATTGTCTAAAACTGTGGAGTCTAATTTCAAATCTGATCTTACCTGAATCCGCCAATGGTATAAGGCTGTAGTTTATATTAAAAAGTGTTGGAGACACTGGATATCCCTGCTTAATGCCTTGGTCTGATCTTCAGCTCACTGTTCAACCAGTATTTACAAAGACAGATGTATCATGTCCAAATACGAGAACAAATATTTAGTTTTTTTATTGTAGAAAAAAGACTGTAAATACAAAAAAGGCCTAGGCATTCTCAATCCGGCCTTCTGTAGCACATTCTTATAAATATCTTCTTCTATAATAGCAGTTACCCAGTGATTCTTAATATATATCTTAACTTAAATCTGAGAGTATACTTTTAATAATCAGTACAATTACTTCTGATCATTCTACTACTGAATCTATTGACAAATAATGCTATAACCCCAAAATATTGTGCAAATGAAACATGCATAAATAACTGTTCAACCTACCATAAAGATATACACAAATAACGTACGTACTTGTGAGCTTTCACCTGCATAATGGTTACTCCAGTCTCGGAGTCCCCATTCAGGATAGCATAGAAGATGGGAGCAGCACCCCTCCAGCGAGGCAGCAGGCTGGCATGAACATTCAGAATTCCTCTGCAACCCATGAACACTGACATCAATATCCCTCTAAGAGTGCTTCATGGTATCCTGAATCTCATTTTGTATACGCACAAAGGGAATGACTCAATTATGGATTTAGAAATTAGATGCCCAAATGATGACACTAGTCCAACATCAAAGTCTCCAGGGACTGCATGGAATGGCCAATTGAATGCAGCTAACTCAGCTGCCACTGCAAAGTCCCTCACAGGATTCTTCTTTGCTTTCAGAGATGTCACAACAGCAAGTTGCTTCACAAAACCACCATCTTGCCTGGTAAAACATGAATCAATCAGTTGGACATACAAAATTTATTGGGAACATTCAACCAAAAAATATGAACAGGTGTAACTGAATTAAGTTTCCAAAAGTCTGCTCAGTTATATTTAAGAAAATAGATGAAAGTACAGAACTAACGTGACTTAGCTATGAAGGAGCAATGTGGGGTAAAAACTGCTCTGGTATCTGAGTGACAGAATAATTCAAATCGAATTCTGCAATTGGAAACACTGTTTCTATTAATTTTCAACAAATGATGATGAAGAGGCATAACCCATTCCAAATGTTATACAATTAAAACACAACAATGAATGCATATAAATAGCATAAACTACAATATGAATTTTTAACACGTTCTCAAACATTTGGCTATATATATTATTATTTTTACTTACAATTCTCTGAAAAGCATTTTCAGGCTCGGAAGGGAGAAGTCATCTGTGCCGAAAAACAATACGCGCCAAGGTTTTCCTAATTCCTTATTATTACTAGTAACATGTGTTAGATGTGTGCTAGTTAGAGTTCTCAACCCTCGCCTGCTACATTTTAACAAGCCAGTATTTCTTGCAAAAATATCCGCATTATTTTCGTAAGCTGCACCAGTCACATAATACAACTTATATATAAATTTTCGTCCTAATGGTGTACGTAATTTCATAATTAAGTGAGAAGTTACTTCATTCGAAAATGAGTTGGATTAATACAGTTTGTCTTTCGAACAAAAAAGTCCATGAATATGACCAACATTTTTCATGCCTGCCGATTACCACCACGCCACATAACCTCAACCACCTCAAAATATACACAACCACGGATGAATTACATCAGTGCACGTCAGTAATCAAGTCAGGGATCTTCAACAGCAGTCGCAACATAACAATCGATTATTAAAAATTTCGATAATTAAACCTTCTGTTAGTATATGTGCAACGGTTGGGTTCGATTTGTTTATCAGATCAGAAGTGCGTGACCGCCTGATCCGTAAAAAAAATATGGGGTAACTATCCAGCTCTTACATACCAATTATGGGCGAAATAGTCCCACTGTTCCACTGTTCAGGCGCTAGCCAAGATGGAGGTTCAGTAATGATGGTTTCGGTTGTCATCCCTTTGGCAGCGCTCTGTTTGATGACTGCCAAGTCGTGTAGTCGTGTAGCTTCTTTGCGTACACTCCATGCAGGAGAACACAACCCACCAACTCCTCAACACATGTACTTCTTGAGAACTAGACATGCAGCACGACAGACAACAGAAACACGCATGAGCATTATGGGAACTTAATATTAACAATATAAGCAACAACAGAAGCCACAGTTCCCAGGCCCAATAATTTTAAAACCTGATTATGACCACATTGGTCAAAACAAGAGATGGATTTTTAAACTTTTGAAGTAAATAACTTTTAACAAATTTTATAGAAAATAGTGTTGCAGATGATACTGCAAAACATTAATCAACACTAAAATAGCCCTGCAACTGACTGAAGCATTACACATTCTCACCCTGTTGCCCTAAGAGCAGTGTTGACAATAATTCACAGAGTAAAATGCTTGTGGAAAGTTGTATCTTTATTATATTTTTATAGCGATTGTTGTTAGTGTATATTTAGTGCTATCTGTATGACTCTAATAAACATGATGCAAGAGGAGAAACTTTCTCCTTTTGCTACTGTATGTGAACCATAACCTTCAATAAATTGGTCTAGATATAAATGAAGGTAAAACTATGTATGAGCATGGCATGTTATGAAGTCAGAAGCAGCACCAAAGTAATTATGTAGGAATAGCAATAGGTAATTAGATTCAGGAATTATAAATATACTAACTTCTATAAGCTCATTGCTGTATATTTCAGGAAGTAATGGGTAAAGTGCCTCCTGTATATGTGTGACAGCTTTCCTGTGACTTCCCTATAGACCATACTATTCTCTAATGCATGATGCCCAACCAGTAGAACAACTCTTACAATATCATCTTCTCTTTTGAAAATTCTGCCAGATCCTCATGGCTGTTGGTGATAATGGTGACTTCCACAAGGAGAATATCACTTACTTTTGGAACTGTAGATGAAACTCCTGGTCTTGTCACCTGTGAGAATCCTTTAGAGAAAGCCTAGATTGTTATATGCTGCACTGATGATATCATTAATGATCCTCATGCAGTCATTGCATTGTCCTTGTGCCAGCATTACTGGAATGTTGTGTTGACAGACATGAATCATCTTTGATCTTCACTGCACATGGTGTGATAATTAACAGCCAAAATTCCAACTTTCTCTGCCATTATCTCTGCTGTCTGATGAGAAACAGAAAATACAACTTACAGCATCTGTCTCACAAAGTCCTCATTCCATGCTGTTGCAGTCAATCCAGGATGGCAGTCACATTTCAATGATTCATGACCATCCACGAATGTGTGTTGCCACAGAAACACCTCAAACCAGGTTTCTGTCTGATGCATCATGCAGTGTTTCCATTATTGATATGACTCTCTCACTTGAGGAAATCCATTTCACCACTTCAAGATCTTTAAGGAGTGCTCTCCTCTGGGACTCACCGTCTAGGGGCAACAGCAATTCTGCTAATATGTGTAGGGGATATGCATATATTTGACACAGGTGAAAAGGTTCCAGTTTACTCCCTACAGTGTTGCTGTATTTGTTTCTGTCCTTGAACACTTTGATGCTAACAGTCTTTAATGTTTATAGTACAGAAGACCTAACTCTGACAATGAATTACCACCACCACTGAAAAGATGACTATATGCAAATACAAGGTAAAGCAAGGTAACTGTAATAATGAATACATATTTTTAAAGTGGAAGCAAGATACAATAGTAAAGGAATGTATGCAGCTAAACATCCCAAAATTACTATTACACAAATTAAGTTATTGATCCAGGAATTTACAAAAGTATGATAAAGTACAGAAAAAATTACTCCAAATATATTCTTTTGGAGAAAAGCGAGACGCAATAATAAAAAATAAGTTTTCTATCATATGGACATAGAAGATGTGAAACATGTTTTATAGACTTCAAAATTATTACATGAATAAATTTACCATTGTTTTACATCTATAAATTAAAAAAAATGAGTCTAGGAATTAATGTAATTTAGGTCTTGAAAATGTTCCAAGCCATTATGGTAATTCCTTCCCCTCAGCACTACAGCTCAGGGTGAGCTCTGGCCTCTTGAACAATCTGCCTCCATTCTTCTCTATTCTTCCATCCATCCAAGGCTGATTATCTGGTTTCTGAACAGTTTAGTTTTTACGGTGTGAGTTTGTTAGCCTCACGCCCAAACCCCAACCTGGAGGACCAGGGTATCCCTATTTGTCTACACCCTAACCTATCCTGAATGGGTGGCCCTACCAGTAGCTACGCTACCACCAGTATAGCTCTCAGGGTCTCAGGAGCACTCGAACCCCACCACCATGATAAGGTGGAGACACCATTGCTGGGGCCATTATGGTAATATCTAAATGAAAAAATCTCAAATGACTCCAAATTTATTAGTTCCTGAGTTCAAAAAGTCACAGACTTAACACAAATATAAATCATTAGTAAGTACTATTCTATTATGATGAAAATTTTAAATTAATTTTTTCACCACTTTCAGTACAATGAAAACTTTGAAAAGCTGAACAAGTTATGCAAAGGAATTTCCTGGCATGAAAAAAAAAAGAGCACATTTAGGGAAAAACAGCTCTGCCTTTGGTTTTACAGACTTATTTCATACTGCCGTATTCAAAATTTACACAATAAACTTGTAACAATTAAATATGAAATATTTCATTGTCATATTTAGAGCAAAAATACTATTTCATACTAGACAGCATGGTGAAGTTACTGAGAAACAAATGAAAGTGCATTTAACACTTACAATAAGGTAATACAGTGTTACCCCATTCATTTCACTCATGCCTGAACACGAAAAGAATTGGAGTTAAGTATTGAAAAAAATTGCAAATTTTTAAGCACCAAAATGGACAATGGTTTTTCTTTCAAACTATCAAATTTCTGCATTCCTGTGTTATACATCATCAATAATCATTGTTATGATACAAACACATTGCAAAGACTGCCACCAAAGTACTCTTTCTGGGATAGCTAGTTGGTCATTTACGCATTTAGTAGACTGACAGGGAAAGCAAGAACAGATCATATTTCTGTTACGTTTTATTCAGCCACCTGTCAAGAGTTTTTCTAGAAATTCCCACTTTTATGTCTTCCCAGAAGATGACTTACAAACAAGATTTCTTTTCTGCTAATCCCTGTAGTCATAATGCTTAGAAACTTCATTTAAACTGGCAGTTGTACAACCATACTGGTTATAGCATTGTGATTTTAGATGTATTTGCTGCAAAACTGCAACACATATGCCAGTTGTTCTCAACTCTTCTGTACAATAGCTTTAAACCAATCATCAACATGACTTCAAATCTGCCTTTAGGCAGTTTCCAACAACAAAATTCTTCTGAGGATTCTTTTGACCCTGCTGGGGGTTCCTGTGATTATGATCTGTGTTGCGACATGAGATTGGGAACTACAGGCATATATTAAGATTATTAAATTGTTCTTGATATTTAACAGCACTTTCTCAGGCAGACAGGTCACAGAGTGTGGATTGGAAACAGGTGATAAATTGGGTAGGCTGTAGAATAAAATGGTTTGGTTTTCACAGCAGTGAAGATATCTAGGTTATGACACCGTAGATTCTAGAAGGTGGTCACCATCATTTCAGAGGATCATGCTGCTGTCTCCATGTTCAAACCTGTACCTCTGTAATACTGGTAATCACCTACCAGGCTATATGGTGTCATAACCCAGAAGAGTTTTGGCCTAATTTAAGGTACTAATCCAGCATTTGCCTGGAGGGACTCCAGAAATCCACAAAAACATTCAGGAAAGTACCGTATTTACGCATGTATAGGCCACACATTTTTTGCCAAAAATTCAAGAGGAAAACTGGGGTGCGGCTTATATTCGAAATATTCGAAATCACACTTCATTTAAAAAAAATTATATTCATAATTAGTAATACAGGGTGTTCTACTCCTGAAATAATATTCCAAGAAAATTATTTTTTCTATAATTTCTGTCTGAAAATTGTGCTGCGGCCTATACATGTGTAAATACGGTAGGCCTCCAGGGTGGGATTTCATGAATATGAAACAAGTGATAATTATTTTATCAAGACTGGCAGTATTATTCAGTTATTTTGTTCTCAACAATCCACTGTAGTGACTCTGTGATGCAATTACACTTGCCAGTGCTTGAATTTAGTGTCCAGCAGTATCCCTCTTGGTTTGCTGACATCAGAACTTGACAACTGAGGGGAGACAAAATTATAATTGACTATTACAAGTAAAGGTGATGAAGTTAAAACATGTAAATGCAGTTTTGTACAAAATGGAATTCTAGAATGATTTTTTCCTAATTTATACTTAATAATAGCACTGAGGTTCATGACTAAAGTGTCTAGCAGCACAGAAGTTCTGATCCAGAATAATGTTGTGAACCACATTTCTGATACAAGACACCATATTGGTTTGCTGAAATTTGAGTTAAGTCTGAATCACGGCAGGAACTTTTCTCACTTCTGCATCTAAAATGGCTCCACCCAGGTTCCTTCTTGTGAGTAATGGGCGAGTAAAGCAGCCAGCGTGAAAAGCAGACTGTTTTTCTGACCTTCTGAAGGTTTAACATTGGTCTGTTATTAACTATAGAAGTATATTATGTTGGACACTGTCAAATTCTTTAGTTGCATTTAAAATTATACAGCATCTTGGATCTGGAAGAGGGAGGAGGAATGATCCTGTACATTGGGCCCATTATACAGAATTAGTCTCAACTGCTGGAAAATGCAGGAAGCTTTGGACAGTATGTTTATTCTCCTGCTGTCAAATATCATATGTAGGAGAGAGAGATGCTGCTCCCCCTGGTAATATTTGAAGCCAAAAGATGTCTCTGTTGTTACAGTTCCTGCCTGCATCTCTGTCTCCAACATAAAATATTTGATGGCAGCAGAACATATAGGCTCAGAACTTCCTTGATTGTCCAGTGATTAAGACCAGTTCTGTTTAATGGACCTAACTGCCTCCTCTATTTCTTACATCTGATGAAGAAAATAAGCCAGCTTCTGAAATGTCATGAAACTTTAAATAAAACTAAAACAATGGACAACGTCCAACATAAAGATGTTCTAATTAATGACCACTTATCTCTACTTAGTGTTATGGTTTAGAATGAACAGAGTTATATAACCACACCTTACACCTATGCTCATTACATGGTGGTTAGGAAAAGTGGAAAAGTCTCTAATTTCTGCCAAAGCTGTTATAATCCACCTACTCAAAAACCAGGGTACACCATACCTTGTGTATGCAAATTTATGGAAGAATATTCTGCATAAGCATGTTTAAATTTCCTATTAGTATATGAATACTTGAAGTAATTGTTAAATAGATTGTTAAGGTACAAGAAGAAAAGTATCAAATGTAACAAGTGTTTTATTAAAATGTTGAGTGAACAAAATTGCCATACAGGTTTCTGTCCTACAGGACCATCTTCAGAGGCTCGTTTAACAATGTCTCATTAAAATATGCTAGAAGTGTGTTGTAAATACAACATAGTAACTTCCTAAACATGATGTAATGGTCTCCAGTAACTGATGATGATCATGATGCACCCTTGTTCCCATAGCAGATGGAGTACATACAAAAATAGAGTGACATCATGTGGCACAAATAATTCATTATGTTTCAGAAAGTATAAATACATGTAAATTAACTTAATGACAATTTAAGCATAACAAAATATTTAAAAACTTATATTTGGAAAGAGAGGATACTGCTGCTACCAATTATCATCTGCGACTGTTGCTCCTGAAACAGAAAAATGAGAACTGTTATACAGCTTGCTCGACACAGAACAATCATTATAAATATAATTATGAAAGCATAATGAAATCAAGTCAAAGGTTCTGGAAGAATTCTCTTATCTATTTAAAAATGCAGACAAATATTTCTAATTTAGAATAAATCATGAATATGACATGTAACTTTTTCATACATTCATAGATTTCATCCATAAATAAATATGAAAGTGTTTATACAGTTACTCCACACATATTATAATTGCCGTTACACATAACAAATCACAAAGTTTTGAAAAGAATGTTGCAACTCTCTCAAACTCCCATACACATTACAAGGGAGTCTTGAATAACCATCAGTGCATGTAGTCTCTTATAAAGCACTTCAGTCAGTACAACCTTTATTTTACAACACATACATTTAACACAATAGCCAAATATAAATTACACTTACATAGTGTAAAGTGAAGAATGATGCACAAAACCTGTACTTATTATATTTTTGAACTAGAAACTCAAAATGAAAACTATATTATTAAGAACAAATCCATTTTTGAGGACGAAAACTTTTGAAATAACCAATCATTACATTCACAGATTAGTTTACATTACATCATAATTATTTTTATTATTTTCCACATCTTAGTTTTTCATTATTAGAGATAAGTAAAATAATAATAGGTGTAGTATGAAGATGTGCAAGAAACATTTGAAGACAACTCTATCATTGCTTGCCTTCACAGTGACAAAGTTAACTCATTTACCACTTGATCTCATTCTGACATAATTTATCAGCTGCCATCAATATGACACTACTCACTTGACACAGTAATAATCAGCTATCTAGTTTTATTCCTCGATAGGGCAAGAATTATAAAAGAATGGTTTACAAATGGAAAAGAATATTTCAAGATGGAGATATGAAAGAAGAGTTGATTTTAAAAAGTAGCTGAAATAAACATATTAGTAGAAGTAATTATATGAAAGTGACAATGGAAAGGAGAGGATGGAGGACTGACAATATGCAACCTTGACCATCTGCAAAGGTAGTGCATAGATTTACAGTGGGTCCCAGATGGATATGAAAAATTTATGCAATTCATACCAACAAGGTTTTGACTACACAGACAATTTTCATTTTTCTTAACTGAGCCACTGGTGTAATTAGCCGTGTTTTCTAAGCAGTGTTAAAATTGCGTACAGGCTAAATTCAAAAGACATAACTGATGTCAAGTATGTTTATGCTAAATTTGTTGGATTATTCAAGTATTACTGACCTTGTGGTCACTTAAGCAATTGCCAGGTTGCCAGATGTGACTTAAATTAGGGCACAGGTTTAAACTTCCGGATTACATATAGATACAGTATGTTCCTATGGATTTCTATCATGAGTGCAAGTACTAGCAAAGGTGCCAAATACTGAAGCCCCAGACCTTGGAAGTTAGTGATGTGAGAAGAAATTAATATAGTAATTAGTCTTCAATATACCTAAATATAAAATTCAGAATTAAAAAAAAGGAGCCAGAAAATGGAGTGTCATGAAAGGTGGGCAAGGAGTGTGGTGGGGTATGTTGCCAGCTTGCAAGCACTTCTTGTGCGAGAGAAATATCTAGACTCCGCGTCTCTGTCTACACTGCTCCAGAAAAATTGAGGGTTACCTGATTCATGTTAGCACCAGAGAATTCAAGAAGCTGCGACATGTATATAGAAGTTTGCAAGGTGTGGATAGAAGACAGTCTTAGAGTGAGTCCAACTGACTGTAGCAGTGTGAAGATGTGCATCCAGTGCACAAAGAAGCAAACATGAAATTGTGTGTCTGTTATGTTAGTTCAGAGTATTTTTTTTATTGCTAGTGGGGTGGGACTAAGTCCCTTGTACTGCGGCAACTTCTGGCCTATTGTACCAGCCCCAGATGACAGGCAAGGCTGATTGTGGAGCAATTGGTGGAATGAAGATTGGCAGGGGAAAACGAAGTCCTTGGAGAAAACCTGCCCCAGCGCCACTTTGTCCACCACAAATCCCACTTGACCAGATCCTGGCCACCACAGTGGGAAGCCAGCGACTAACCGCTTGAGCTATGGTGTGGCCCTCAGAGCAAGTAACAGAAGATCTCAGAAGAGGCCAATGCAGTGATGTTATTGTATAATAACGAGTGGGCAAAGAGGTGAAATCAAGATCATAAGTGGTTATGATCACCAAGGCAATAACTGCACCAAATAATGACATTATGCATAGTGTAACAATTATGGCATGTTCCCTCCCTCCTGTTTAATTACCTGAATAATAAGTTCTGGGAAGAACTAATCACCTGCCTTCCTTTGAAATGACAATAGCTGCAGAGAAAATAATGCCGCCAACAATCTTTCATTGCTGTGGAAACATCTTTATCAAATCATTAACTAGAAATGATAGGGGGATACACAGACCCACGGACTCTCTTTTGATAAGATATGGACAGCACAGAAAATGATGCATTCAACAATTCTTCTATTGTTGCACGTATTTGTTGTCACTGGAATGTGTTCACCAACCCGCTGCCTAGCATAGAACAGAGGGATATATTTAGCTGAGCCATTGACTTGCACCAATATACGGGGATACAGATACAGAAACAGAGACTGATGGGATGGATTTATAAAGTACGCCCTTGAGACTGACTCAGTTGCCATGATATATACATCTGCAGAGACAGGATGTAGATCGCATTGGCCTACTTTCCTACAGCAGACTAAAAATAGTAAGAGTTACAAGATAGTGTATCAGACATAAAACACGTGTTTTGTTTGCATCTACAGCATTTGTCTGAAACACTTTTTGCTCTTATAGCTAGTGACCTGCACTCGAGATGCATGAAGAAAGACATGTATGTCTTTATGTGAAGTGTTCGTTATTTTTATCTGATCTTAACTGCAATTGAAGTATGTCAACAAATTTTAGTAGAACTCCTCACTACCAAATATAATGAAAATCCATTCAGCAGTTTTTGAGTTGTTACATTCGGGTAGTCTGGTAGACAGACGTGGCAATAAGCGCCAGAAAATTTGTGATGAACTTATTTTTACCTCCACCCCTTACAGTCCTGCTCATCTGTGAAATATCAGGTCCAAATCTGTCCTTTTGTTCACACCCTTACCTGAAGGATATGTTACAGTCACAACACTCAATGAGAAAATGCTAAATTTATGAGCTTTCAGAAATTCGCTCTTAGCTTACATGGTTGTGACAACGAAATAAACTCAAGTTTCACTGAGAGCAAGAATAGCATAATCAGTATAGTGACTGGCTACGGGCTGGATGACTGAGGGGTCAGAATTGGAGTCCTGGTTGGGTCATGAATTATCTCTTCTCCACACTGTCCAGACCAGCTGTGGGGTCCACCCAACCTCCTATCCACTGGGAATGGGAGGCTCTTTCCCTGGAGGTAAAGTGGATGGGGCATGAAGCTGATCACTCACCTCCAGCTAGTACCCACATCAAGAAAATGTGGATCTATACGTCCACTCCCCCATATGCCTTCAAGGCGTAGTGCTTAATTAGTTAAGCACAGAAACAACTTTACTTTCACCTTACCTTCACTGACGAATGGTGACCAGAGCTTCCATTACTTTGAATGGTAGTGATTAAGAATTGAAATTAATCCCTTTTAAAATCTAGTAAAAGCAAGTCATCAAGGCTTTTCATCATCAGATTCATCAGCCATTCATATTCCTTATAAAATCTGAGCTTCTTCCAATGTAATACCATTATAATTTGCTGAAGCAGCCATTTTACAACTTAAGACAATATACTGTGCAAGTGTTTCAGCCTTGGATTTGAAACTTTTCAATTATGATCAATACAGAAACTGATACTTCAACTTTTCTGTTATAGCCTCAGATTATTTCACTGCATTCTACAGCTGTCTAACACGTTAACAATTACATAAAAGACTGTCCACCAACATCTGTTTGATGACTTGACTGTAAACACTTTCTGAATCTAAGTATTATTGAGAAGCTGTTTATAATAAAACTTCTTAATGTATCAAACATTTCTTGGCCATTTTATAGAATTGAAATCGGTGAAGAACGAAATGTACCTGGATGCTTTGCTGTGAACCTTGCCACCCAGCCAGTTCCTCCATTGTGAACACTCGTTGTGTAGATCACAGAGACAGTGCCAGTGCTGCCTTCATGTAGCACAGGATTGTCCTATGAAGAATGAAGCATATCTCAGGATAAATGACCAGTACAACACCAGTAATGGAACTCTTCAACTGTACCACAGATTAGTGTATCTTTGTATTTACACTCTGGTTCCATACCCCAGACACCATCCAACAACTAAATTTCGTGCAATGCAATAACAAAGTGCAGGTGAAACCCACTAACATCAACTATCTATGATATCAAAAATCTTCTGTTTCTCCTTTTCCTTTTATTCTATGTGGTGGTTGTTACAAGACCAAGCAAAAATTACCTATGTCCATTGTTATTTTACTTCTAAACAACCATACCATGCAAAGCGTCTACAATGCTTATCACTAAGTGACACTACAATGATAAATAACAGACAAGATGTGTCTTGTCATATTTCCTCAATTTTAGAGCCTTAATGTAATTAATTATATAATTCAGTTTCTTAAGAGTTCCCTAACTTTCATCTGTCATTAATATGGACTGGATTTTTATGACCTAAAAACCATAAATATATGCATGCACTAATGACCCAAAATTATGTCAAATATGACTTAAAAAGTGTAAAATATGACCTTAAATATTAAATGGGATTTATAATTTCACAATTTTAATTACAACTTTTACTAGAGTTTAAGAATAAAAATGATGAATATATGATAGTAGGCCCTACTTACCAAATTAGCCCTATTACGTTTCTGAAGGAAATAAAACTGATGAAATTGTAAATTTTGTACTGGATTAAACCATTTCTTGTTTTCTTTTTAATATTAATATTTGTGTTCATATTTTAGACAAACACTGGCGCACATGATATAAACATTAACCTAACTCTGTTAGCTAAAAACACAATATAGAACACAAGCTTATTCGGCTCTNATTTTAACATTTAGAACATATATTGTAATAGTGGCTTCTATAGATCTCTGAAATGGTCTCTGAAGACCGAAACATGTAAGGGCATGATAATTGAAATAAGAAAAAAGAAATCTTAGCCAGTCACACTTGATGGAACTGTTTAATTTTTTCATAATAGTATTAGTGTGACGGACCAGAATGAAACAAATCGAACACAAGGTTATTCAGATCTCAACTTTCAATGTTTCTGAACACGAGTTATTCACGGCTAAATTTTCACTGTTAAAATTGCAATTTATAACTACATGCATTTACAACTTTTCAAATTTGAAAGATCACCAATTGTCACTGAGGACAGTTTTGTATTTGGAAAAACTTTGTGCCACATCACATAATGTGACAGGAGTATATTTGAAGAATGTCAGGTCGTTTGGTGTCAGTTCTGGATCATCTTCGAATGTTGCTGGTTTACCAGAAAGTATATCTGCAATCTTGCATATTGTTGAATAACCAGCATTCCAATGAGGAACACTTTCTATTTTGGTTTTAATCTTGTTGTTTACTTCATAACAAGATCGGTTTAGTTCATTCTCAATGCTTTTTAGAGTGTCCGATGCATCACAGAGTTCAGTCCCTACAACTTCCAGGTGAGTTATTGCATTTGAAATTGAATAGAAGTTTGACTTTATGCATGTCAGACTTTGTGCTAGAGTGACAGAGAATAGGTCCTTGACAGCTTTAATTGATGTTGACTTGCTGCTGTCAAAGCCATTAAACACTTTCTCAACGGCTGTGTAATTTTCACAATAATATGCCAGTGTCCAACCATGTACCCCACAGTGTGATGATAGGCTGTGGAGGAAGTGGCAGTAGAGGAGCTTCTTTATTAAATTTCTGTACACAGAGAGGGGCTTGATGATTTTTTTTTTCCTCGTTGGTGTCTCCACCTTATCGTGGTGAGGGGGTTTGAGTATGCCAAGGACCCTGAGAGCTATACCAGCGGTAGCGTAGCTACTGGCAGGGCCTCCCTTGCTGGACAGGTCAAAGGGTAGGCATCAGACGAAGAGAGACACCAAAAACTGATGCCGGAAGCAGCGTCATCAGNTGACACAATCACTGAACATAATAAAATGTAACTACAACAAGACTTAATATTAGATGAAAAACATATTGACCATTTATCTAATAAAATTCATCCAGTGTGTAAAGACAATGCATCTTGATATGATCAATAAACAATAAAATATCAAATATTGTGTACTGAATCACTCACACATCAAAAGAAAACTATAGTAACATCTAACATGCATCAAGAATAAATACTAATAAATACATTCTCTCAGAAGTGTATTAAGTGGCTATTATAATAATAAATACACACATTCATAAAACAACAAGAGTCTGTACATTTAAAATAAATAAAAGACATAGTAGAATAAATATGTGATTATTTATATATTTTTAGTTAATAGGACTTGTCAAGGTTAATTTTAAATACTATTTATAAGAGCCATGATCATCCCTTGTGTTCCATTCATAATATTCATTTAAGGAATAAAATGAAACCGCAGGAAGAAACTTTTTAGAGCCTGTTTGAATTTAGTAATATCATTTAATAGATTTCTGATGCCTTGTGGTAGATTATTGAATATCCTAATCCCTGAATAACATACACCCTTCTGCACTTTAGCTTATTTATTAGATGGAAAATGTCTCAGCCTTGTCTAGTGTTAATGCTGTGTACAGCAGAATTAAATTTGAATATAACCAAATTGTTAACTACAAATATTGATACAGAAAATATATATTGAGAACATAAGGGTAGAATATTTAATTGCCTGAACAATGGATGACAAGAGCCCTTACTTCTTGCCTTCATAATAATTTTCACAATTTTGTTTTGTATTTTGAAAATTAAATTACTATGAGTCGAATTGCCCCAAAATATTATTCCATACGACATAATGGAATGTGCATATGCAAAATAAATAATCCTTAAACTCTCCTAAGTCAAAACTGCGGATAGGATTCTAATAGAAAAACTAGCCGCACTCAGCTTAGTTACCAATTGATTTGTAAGATTTGAGGACGGTACAAAATCCCAGAAGACTGCTTTCTTCATACCAATTGATTTATTTGATCTTTCCATGATATTATCTATGATTAGTCCTAGGAATTTTGTATTATAAGTATTATTAATTTGAACATCCTCATAGTTTACATTTATGTTTGATTTAGTATTTACTTTTGATGAAAAATGCATACAGTTTTGTTAAAACTTAATGATAACGAATTGATCATAAACCATTTATCTATTTTGTCCAGTATCATTATCAATACCATTATAGTTCCACAGAATCAGAACTGAAACATAGTATGCTGGTATCATCAGCATACAAAATTGGTTTTGATATTTTATTTATTAAGTAAGGCAAGTCATTAATATATAAAAGAAAGAACAAGGGGCCAAGTATCGAACCCTGTGGCACACCATGTTTGACTTTCTGCCAATCAGAAATACCCAGAGAATAATTATTATATTAATGTCCTCTGATATCCGTCATTCAGGTAGGATTTAATACATTTTCCAACACTACCATTAATACCATAAAACTCTAGTTTGGATAATAATACATCATGATTTACAGAGTCAAATACTTTGGTTAGATCACAGAATAGTCCTCCCACTGATAATTTAACATATCTTCATAACCTTTAGATGTATCTTCTTCAATATTACGACGCTTCTTGCATCACTAATCTCAGCTCATTGTAATCTCTTCATATCACTTTGTATCTTGGCCTATTGTAATCTAGTCTCAATTCCAACCTGGTCTTCTTTTATACCCTACTGTCAGATGGGCTTAAAGACACCTTGTTCAAGGGTCCCATGTCATGTGTTCTATCTGCTGGTAAAAGGTAAAGCTATCCCTGTAACAGGCCATGGAGGCCCATAGGGTTGTGAGAAGTCGGTAGTTAGTGTTTTCCTTGTTGTAGCGGTAACTTCACTAGTTAGCTAGCATATTCTCTCATTGCAATGAGTTTTCTTAGCTGTTGTCATGCAACTGCTTAGAAAGAATTTGCTAGCTGTTGTGTAGCACTGGATGTGTTCTGATTCTAAGCCATTGTAGCAGGAATGTTGCTTGTTGCCTAGGAAATCAACCCTGATCTCAACCATTCTGGCTTTCTGGTGGCATGCCACAATATTATAAGCTATCAGCTGAGTTCATTGTGAGAAAGAAACCCAACTCACTTCACATAAAACAAGCGGTTCATTCACTACAAACATGTAATTGTAGAATATGGTAGTTAGTATAGTAGTTCAAGTAGACTAATGATATGACTGCACTGTTACACTGACCATGGTCTATGTCTATGGGGGCTGTGTAAATCATTGTTGTAGATCAACAGCAAAATAAAACAAATGTTGATACAATAGTGTCCATTTTGTTTTTCAGGAATATTGTTGTGTAGGCTTCTCCCGTTATACACATTATATATTCTCTGTAGATCAGAACCAACAAGATTTCCATGAGATGAAAATACTTGTCTCTTTGGTAGATTGTTAACAGTAAGAAACACATACTACTTGCAGTAAAGACGACAAACAAACAAACAAATAAACATGCAGAAAGCCAGACAAATAAACATATAGAAATTTTTAATTCATGTAATATACAGAATTCTGGCTTCAAGTTATAAGTTCCTGCCATTCTGAGAAAACTAATACAACTGGTTCATATCGATGCAGTATAACATGAAATATTTTCTGTTAAAACACGCTATAAATTCTTGTATATACTGTCCTGGTTTCTTTATAGAAACTGGATCTACTTCTGAAGCATTGTATTTAACAAAAAAAAAAAAAGTTAACAATATCTGAAAATTAAAACTTAAAGGAATACACCTTTATCAGAAACATTCAGAAATAAATTCCTGTCTCACCTACTAACTTCAGCAACAGCAGGCTATGTGTATGGCTGGAGATGAGTCTCCCCCATAACATTATGACAGGAAGGTCCTGAATGTGATGTCATTTCATGTTCTGAATAGTGTAAGCAATAACAATTTTGGTTAACATGACAGGTGATGCTCCCACTTACCTCTCCACAATAGCGTGTCTTGAATGTTTCCACATTGTTCTCTATGTCCACATCATACAGCTCCACAAAGTCTGAGTCACATGTGTTACGTGGTCCAATGTCAAACACTAAAGAAAAGTTTTTTCTTAAGTACTACATTTGTTTCTCATTGACTGTCCAAGTACATGAACAGGACTAGAGATAATGTAACAATTTAGACATATTTTATTTTAAATAAGATGTGCATTATTTATCAAGAAACATAGACTATATACAACATTATTTATAGTTTGTCCAATGAAATTAAGCCATGAACATTTTTAAACACAATCTGAATGAAAAGAATTGATATAACAATTGCCAGCTAACTTTCAGGAAATGCAGCAATTCTAACCGAAACTGAGAGTAAACATGAAGTTAATAGAAAGGTACATCCAGAAAGTGGATAGAACCTTTATTTTAAGATCTTACACCTTGTCATTTTCTCTTCAACTAGGGAATGCAGAAACTAAACTCATACTGTGATCTTCCTGATGTAATATGACAGATGCATACCAGTGTTTTGAGGAAACATAGTGCCTGCATCTTCTTCTCTGAGGATGGATGCAATAGGTTTCCTCCAAATGTTAGTACCTATCTGCCAGACTACATGATTTTGCATCCTGTAAGATGGTAATTTTAAGTTCTAATCTGCTGGAATACTGACCCATATTCAATATAAACTGTTTCCTTATCATAAACTAGCAATTTGCTGCTCTAGAAGAGAAAAGTCTCGAGGTACACAGATTTCTATATATACGATGCCTGAACTCATTAAAATATGTAAAAGCTTTACTTTACCTGCAGGTTTACACATGTATAAAATTTTGTCCTGCATCCTAAGGGAAAATTTGAGAGTGAAGGCAACTGAGAACAAAGTGATAACAAGAGTATCTGGGGATAAAAGCAATGGGAAAAGGTGAAAAATACATACTTTGGAGCAGATGATTAATTCAAAGATATGAGATAAGTTGTACATATGAGGTCTGACAATAAAGTTCGCGAACTCACCACTGTGTTTTTGCCATGGTAGCAGTGGACAGAAACCTCAGTAGGGTTTGATGACCTTGGCATATCAGGGTTTCAAGGCTGTGTTGTTGTTGTTGATCTATGGCAGTCTCTTTCTGAGTGGCTTCTATTATTATTTTAGTGTGTTTTGGTGTGCCATCACAAGAATGTCTGAGCTTGAATTAGCGCAAGGAACAAACATTAAATTTCTTGTTAAACTTGGCAAGAGTGGAGGCAAAGTCAGAGAGACATTAGTGCAAGTTTATGGGGATAATGCTATGAAGAAAACAGCAGTTTACAGGTGGGTGACACGTTTTTTCTGAGGGAAGAGAAAGTGTCAATGACTAAGAGAGATCAGAATGGCCAGCAACAAGCAGAACTGAAGAAAACATTGCAAAAGTTCGTCAAACTGTGCATAAAAATCATCGGCTGAAAGTAAGGAGTATAGCAGAGTAAGCAAACATTGACAGAGAAACAGTTAGGAAAATCTTAACTGAAGATCTTGACATGAGGAAGATTTGTGCAAAAATGGTTCCAAAGGAGTTCACTGAAGAACAAAAGCAAAGAAGAATTGAAATTTTCCAAGATCTTTTGAAGAGGCAAGATAAATTTTTCGCCGTGTCATCACCCTGAAACAAAGCAGCAAAGTCCACAATGGAAGACTGCCAATTCTCCATGACCAAAAAATTTCTTTCAGTCCAAATCAAGAGTAAAAACAATATTGCTAACATTTTTTTATATTAGAGAGATTGTTCATTATGAGTTTGTACTAAGTGGACTAACAGTCAAGCAAGTTTACTGTTTGGAAATACTGAAAAGGCTGTGTGAAAAGGTTAGACAGATACAATCCAAACTTCTTGCCAGCATCTCATGGATCTTGCATCATGACAATGCACCTGCTCACATGGCACTGTCTGTGATGGAGTTTTTAGCTAGTAAACAAATAACTTTACTGGAAAACCCTCCCTATTCACCAGATCTAGCACCCAATGACTTTTTCTTCTGTTCCTGATGACAAAGGAAATACTGAAAGGAAGGCATTTGGGTGATATTGATGACATCAGGAGTAATACGATGACGGCAGCTCTGAAGGTCATTCCACAAAACCAGTTCCAAAATTGTCTTTAAGGGTGGACTAGGTGCTGGCATTGGTGCATGGCTTCCCTAGGGGGAGTACTTTGAAGGTGACCACAATGATATTCAGCAATGCGGTATGTAGCACTTTTACCATGATGAGTTCGCGAACTTTATTGTCAGACCACTTCCAGCACAAAGAAAGTACGTAACATGAAATGGTTGGTAGGAAAATTTTATAGAAAGACCAAGTCATAATTCAAGGACAATACTAAAAAGTGGGGCTATATCACCTGTAAACTTCAGGAGAGTCACAGTCCCAATGGGCACTGACACATCCCAGCGGCACTGTGAACTGTTTCGGTAGTTGTTGGGGTATAGTGGACTTGTGAACACACCACCATAGTTGAATAATTTGCCGCCACACCCCTGTCCTGCAAAGCACAGTTTCTTTATATCATACCTGTAGCTACTAAACTATTTTATTTCATGACACTGTTGCATCTGCACAGGTTATGTTCAGTGGCTTGGTATTCATACTGACACTACTGGTATCCATAGAACTCATGCTGTAGGTGAGATAGATCACTGGTTCCAGATTGAAGGAATTTGGAAATGGATCTACATTTAAATAAAAAAATATATCAGTTTACTTCATGTAATAAAAAATATAATTATTTCATAAAAATTAAGAGCATGGAAATTGTAATAAGTGCCTCAAAAGTGAGAAGAACTGAGTTCCTGGAAGAAAAGTTGGAGATGATAGTGAAGAAGAAGAAGTGAGCTTAGACAATGACAATTAATTCTACTAACCAATTGCAGGCTACTTAACCCAACAGTACAGCACTAGTGTGAACCACATAAAGTCTCTTTTTATGTTTTTGAAGGGAACATCTAAAATAAACATAAAATTGAGGGAAATGAAGAATAAGAGAAATAAAAATGATAAAACATAAAGAAAATGGGGGTTACTTTATACAGAAGTTTGCAAGCCATTTTAAAATGTGCATGTTTAAACACAATAAGATCAAGTCATTTAAAAGAGGTTTGTAGCAGCAAATATTACAAATATTTCTGGTGCTAGAAGAAAGGTTCATAATGTGTGTAACAGCTTTCAATTTCTTCGTGGTGTTTAGTGTGAACAATGAAAGCTCCAACTGTCACACCAGTTTGACATGTGTTGCAATATGTGCATCAAGTTGTGCTATAATATGAATTTTTTTATTTTTTATAAATGCTGCACAGGATGGAGTGGTATGGACTGATCTAGCTCAGAATAGGGACAAGGGGAGAGCTCTTCTGAACATGGTAATGAATCTCTGTTTTCCATAAAATGTTGGAAAATTCTTGAGTAGCTGCACAACTTGCAGTTTCTCAAGAAAGGCTCATCTCCATGGAGTTAGTTATTATAAATACTTTCAATTTTGCTTTATTGTCCACATTTGAGGTGCAAATAATTAATTAAGAAATGCATTGTCACATTGGCATACAGTGCCTGGCATCATGTAGATACTGTCAACAATTATCTTTGCAGCAAAACATGTGGATGTATCTATCCTAGCTCAATGGTGAGCTGCATCTGAGACTGAGCTCACCCACATGAGCTTAGAAAATGTTCACATAAAAGGACATGCATATTTTAATAATAATCTTTGAACATGAATGGAACAAAGCCAATGTTCCTCTGAAGTTTCTGAAATAAAATGATATAAACATAAATTTCGGTAAAGTAGTGGATATTTGGGGGGGGGGGAAATACAAATTTGAGGAAATGTAGATCTGTTAAATTTTAACATTGCTCTTCTGGGATTTTTGGCAGGACCAATGAAGGGTGTGTAAAGTAACAAAAAACATATACGAAAATGCAAAATTAAATTTTCACTACATATGGCAAGAACAAAAATTGTCACGGAAACCTGCACTTCATATTCAACTCTAATTAAAGATTAACTTATTTTATGATACTGTATCAGCTTATGAGGTTATATATATTGTTGAATCAGAAATGTTAGGCTATGAATTATGGCTCAGGAGGAAAAAGTTGTGGTCTATTTTAACATAATATCCCAAATGTGACTTGAAGAATTGAAGAAAACAAAAGATCCTTGTCAGGTAGCCCTGAATTGCAAGTCAGATGCATTACCATTGTGCCTCAGAAGACAAAGAGAAAAAGGCTGCCCTACAGGTCAGTGCTTAGCGACTATCTGTTGATGGCGAAGAGAAGGATCTTCAAAGTAAGTAAATGTGAACATAAATTAGGCTGGATACTTAGAGTGTCACAGTAAAGTGGTCAGTATTCTGCTTATTATTCAGACAAAACCATTTTCCACATTAGCTTTGATGTTCATGTACAGCTCTCACTGATCACAGTGAGGTCCAAATAAATTCAGGACAAAAAGTAACACAAAGTGTGGACAAAAGCTTGATGTAATCAACAGACTTTAATAACAGGTTACGATACAAAATTTTGAGAAAGCATGTTTTGAATGGAGTGAACTAGGACAATTCTGTGAGGAATGTGAATTGATTGATTTGATTCCTAACAGGAGCAGAGACTTATTTCTTTGCCACCATGTCCAGTTTGACTCGCTCGGTTGATACCAGATATTTGTTCTCTCAAATAAGGCAGTCAGAGTGTGAAACTAGTAACAGTGCCCATCTAAGACCCAGCTTTTATTAGGAACAGTCCACTGCTCTTATGGAAAGTGTTGAAACACATCGTAGAAGCATGTTGTGTAATCGCTCAGCCGAAGGAGTAACGCGAAATAGAAATGTAATTAAACTATTGTAACGTGTTTAGTTACTGAAGACGCCGTTCAGATTGTTAATTGGTTTATTTAACAACCTACCAGTCTCGGCTACAATTAATAACAACACTGCTGCGGGGTTTCACACTTTATAACCCTATTCGCAATAATCAATTCACTCTGTCCTCAATAGCCTACATGTATTAATTATGATACGGGAGCCATACAAGTGTCACTGTATCACACACTCCAAATTATTACTCAGTTATCACAAACTATCACTGATTATCACACATGCATCCGGTTCTTCTTTCCGTGACAGCTGCTATATTCCAGTTTAACTCTAACGGCTCACTGCTGGCTAGATTCCAACTCAACTCATAGGTTGCTGCCTTGAGAACTCATTTCGGCGGCTGATACACTTTTAACTGCCTTCGGAGGCTGTGTAGTTCCCTTATATAGTCGCAATGTTTGTCTGTTACATAATTGGTACCGCTGTTGCCTGATGCCATGTCGACACCGGCGTTGCGTGCCATGTCACAGTGTGGAAGGGGGGCAGAGCGCTGACTCACCCGCCACATCACCGTGGCCAGAGCTGCCACATCACTGCTGGGGGAGGGAGGGGTTGTCCTCCATTGTGCAACATGTCACACTATGTTAGAAAGTTATAGGAGACAAAAGACTACTGCCACTTGGTTTAGTTTACAAAGTTAAATCGTATAATTGACATCTGATAACCAACACAGATGAATTCCTTCACCAGAAATGTAACATAATATCACAGCAGTAAAGTTTTCTTAATCACGGCTAACCAGAATAAGCTTTCTGGGTTTATAAGGTGACACAATACAAAACATTGGTAACCTGATGATGCCAGGCTATGTGCAGAGACAGTGAGCATACATGGTGCAATGGCCATGTCATACACAAGCAGAAGAGAAAATAGTTGATTGGTCATTATAGAAACTAAACCCCACCTCAATTTCAAAACTGAACCAATCAGAGAAAAAGGATGTGGTCAATTTTTATAAACAGAAGTATTTTAAATTTGGTAGCATCATAAATGCTTGGTTCTGAAACACTTGGACGTCATCCTTTGACAAGAACATGTACAATTATTTTTTCATAAAACACTTGAGCATAGGTCTTTTAAGTGAATGGGTATTTGTATTTGTAAAGAACACTAAGAGACAACTCCCACAGTGTACCGAAAACAGGCAATATTTATACATCACTTGGACATCAACACAAGCTCTAACCAATCAGCGCTCATAATCGCAGCTTCATCACCAAATGGTCTGCGTGCTGCCTAACAGCACAAATATAAGGCTGGGGGCCTCTGACACAATAGTATAAGGTTGATTTGATTGTTATTGAGGGCATTCATTGTGGGTTTGATTCATTTTGCAGTGTGAGTTCAGAGAGAACAGGATTGGTGGTTGGTGTGTTTACCTGCTAGTGGCTGAGTGTTTGGAGATAGGTTGTTAGATTCATTCTCATTGAGTGACTAATAAGTTTAGTGGTGTTCGCCTTTTAGTGCATCTGCCCATGTTTAGGAAAGTGTTTACAAAGCATATGCTGAAAAATGAAAACAGGAGTGGTGCGACCAGTGTATCAGTGGTGGGGCCATCCCATCTGCATACAGACTATCAAGCAGGCGAAATGATGGAGCCAAGAGTATGTGAAACACACTGGAATGCAATCGTGGCATCCTTTGAGAAGAACCACAAAGACTTAACAGCAAGGAATCCTGACTGCCAGGAAGAAATAGAACTACTGTGTAATGGCCTACGCAAAATAGGGCAGCTTATCCATACATCACCCACTGTAAATGGAAATGGTGCAGTATGGAAAGAATTAATCACCAAATCCAAAGCTGAGAGGGCAGTGTTCTGTAAGCCCCTCGATGGGAAGGCGCTCTTTACAGCCATTCTGCACTTGTATGCTGCCATACACAGGGAAATGCAAGACTCGCTGCTCCCAGAACAAATAGAATCACCTAAGGAATTTTGCAAACAAAGGAGACGCAAGCAGAACTCCTCAGAAGAACAGGCAAAAAGCCCGAACCTGACACCTGGACCGAGGGACCCTAGGATATGATCCCAAGGTGAGGCACTGACAAAAAACTTCTTTGTGCCCCTGAGGACATCAGGAATGGATGTCATGGAGGAGACAGCCGATGACCCAGACAAAGAACAGCAGCAGCCATCGTGCAAAAAGGCAGGTAGGCTGCCTCCCTTTGTGCTAACTTCTACGACTAACCTGATGCAGTTGCATAGGAAAGTTAAAGGCACTGTCACGGGCAGTTTTGAGTTCTGCAACACCAGGAATGGGACCAGAATTGTCACAAAAGAAATGGCGGACTGTTCAGCCATCAAAAAATTCCTAGAGGGTAACAACCTTTCTGTCATCTCCCACAAAATACTCCAGCTGAGGATATCTATGACGGTCTGGGGTTTGACGTCATTAGTGTCAAACAAATGGCAACCAATCGTCAGACACCTCCGGAAGCAAAAAGAACTATCAACCTTCCCTTGTTCCTTATCACACTACCAAGAACGGAGAAGTCCCAAGAACTCTTCCGATTGACCAACCTCTGCCACATTGCCATCAGGGTAGAGGCGTACAAAGTGCAAAACAGGCTTATGCAGGGTTACAACTGTCAGCAGTTTGGCCACATTTCGGCAAACTGAAAGCAACCTCCACGTTTTTTGTGGTGTGGAGGCGGCCACTTACACAAGGAGTGCCCAGAAAAGGAAAACTCTGCCTCCACTCCAACATGCTGCAACTGCTGGTTGGCGGAGAGAGACAAATTGCATCCTGCCAATTATTAGGGTTGCAAACATGCCAAGGAAGAGCAGCAGAAAAGAAAGGCACAGAGAACACCCAAAACTACCACGGGGAATGTGTTCTCCTCAAACATCATCACACCAGGTGTCTCCTTCATGGCAGCACTCTGTGGCAGTGCAGAACACCGGCAACTGCACCCTCAGGGAAACCATGTTCCAGTGGCCTGTCCACCCACCACAGGAAACAGACTGACTGACTGACTGACTGTCAGTCGCAATGTGACTTTGACTTTGATTTTGACACCAGCATCAGTCTTTCATCAGTCACAGCCATGCTGACATCAAGAAATTGCAGCTGCTGTAACTCTCCAGTAACAGCGCATGCGTTGTAGGCAGCTGACTCTACAGGCGCATGCACCACAGCACCATTGGCCAGCCAGACTTGCCGCTGCAGCAAGAGAAGGACATCGGGCTGCTACAAGAAGACACTGCTAGACAAAACCGCCCTTTTCAGGACATGCACTTGACATCGTAATTGCTGGACCGGACTAGCTGCCAAGAAAGGAGTCTCTGCCATATTCTGCAGACACGCTCCTGCTCATTTGTAATGTGCATTCTAAACGCAACAAACATTTGTTGTTATAGCTTCAAGTGGTTGTCTCAGTCAACATAACACTTTCTACTGACATACATATCATACCACAGTCCTAATGCAAAATCATTGAAGACAGTACTTATAATTCATTATAGAGTAGCAGAATGACCATGTGAAAAAAGTGGATAACTATGAGGACAGCTGTTATGGTTAATGAGCTGGGCATTTGTAACATAAAATTTACATCTCTTATTATTAAAGTGATAATACAACTTCATTTTATAAGCAAATACACTATGACTCACTTTCACTACCTTTTAGAACAGGAGAAACTATGATATGATACGCCCAAAGACAAAAGTGGGGGGGGGGAACCCAGAAATATGAAATGATTTCATACAGGTGGAGTAGTCGGAAGTAAAAGCCTTAAAACAAGACACCCTATTTCTAATGCTGGATGCACCAAAAAGGTAAGATTAAAGAGAGGAGCTTTACTTCCATGCTACCCATACACCTTCATGGTACTGTGCACATGGACAAGAAATACCTTTATCAGTGGTAGTATATGTGATATCAAAGTGGGTATAAGATGCTGTGCCTGAGGCTAAAAGCAGCAGTGCATTTCCTGTTGAGAAGACTGGATTGGGCACTGCATAGCCACAAAGACGAGCCAGTGGAGGAGAGTTTCGAGTGGGTCCATCTCGTACCTGTAACAAGACATAGCTCTTTTTGCTTGCATACTGACAACCTCCAGTTTCATTAGGAACTGATTTCATAGGTTCTGATGTTTCATGCAATTAACTGTTTTGTGTTTGACACAGGATGAAAAGAAGAAGAAGAAGAAGAATGTTGTAGCTAAACATCACTTCATGTTACTACCTTATGCCACACCATTTTCATCATGACCAAACAGTCAGTATTAGGGCCATTTATTGGCCTGTTACATTTCAGACTACTAACAAGCCACTTCAAAGTTCACCTTTGGTTCCATGAACCATTAGGTCTATACTTTATCATTATTTCATTAGTATTATAAGACTTATGTAGGATCCAGGTAGTTCAGTCAGGGAAGTTGCTTATTATAGACTGGGTTGCTGGGGATTTGTTCTAGAAGGGGCACATATTTTCCTCTTTGCCCCATGTCCGAATCAGCTTTTGGGACCATCCAGTTGCTAATCTAATTGACTGATAACAAAATCAAGGAGGATGAGATTAGCTGCACAAATAACAGTCATCAAGGAAATGAGAAATGCATACAGAATTTTAATTCAAACACCTGAAGGCAAGGGAGTCCTAGGCATAGTTTGTGTGACTTATGTTAATTTATTATATTGTCACGTGTTTTGTGTGTCATGCGACAAATAAATATACGTGGGTCTCGGATTCAGCGAATCTTTATTGGACACTCACACTTACACACTTTACAACTGTTAGCACTTGCAGTATTACAATTACTGCTTACACAGTATCTCGGTCAATACTTCTGTAGCTCTTGGCGTCTAGGTTCCAACCTTCTTCAGCGGCAGCTTCCTGAAGACTGACTTCTTCGGCGGTTAGTACCAGACTGACTTCTTCGGTGACTAATTCCAGACTGACTTCTTCTGCGGTTATTTCCAGACTGACTTCTTCTTGTCGAAGCTGGGCTATTTATACCTCGGTGGTTGCTACACAATGAGCCTTTGTTATAACCGTGGAAACTCATCTCTATGGAATGCTCACTGTTAGAATTACAGTATCGCTATTGTTATTTACTATGCAATGGTCTGTCCTAGCGTTTCCATAGAAGTGACTCTTCTGGATTCTAAAAACCTTACAATATGTATACATCTATTATCAAAGGGACTATTTCCACATCCTAGGTTTTTGCCTGTATGGATATATGGAAAATAAAGGAAATGAATGAATGAATAGATGGGAGGATATATAGTGTGATGTATATGCCCATTGCTAGGCAATGGCTTGGTTAAAACATTCCTGAAGTTATGCTCTCAACAGTAAAAGAAGGACATCCATTGCTAGGTAACTGAACAATAAACACATATTCTTGACAACAAAAGACGGTGTTTTCCATGGAGTCCATGCCGAGGAATTATAAGAGGGCACAGTCAGAAGAACTGGAAGAGTACAGAGGAGCAAAAGGAGTACAACAGAGTAGTTCAGTTCAGTTCAGTTCAGTTCAGTTGGAAGTCACAACAGTTTCAGTGGAGTGTCCAGTCGGAAGAAGATGACAGTGTGTCAAATAGTGATTTGTGAATTGTGGTAACCAGTTGTATAAAGGTCCAACAAATTCAATCATCAAATCCAGAACCCATCTTATTAGTCAAACAAACAGTGGATATGAGACAATATTAAAATGGACCTTATAGAAGTAGGGTGTAAGGGTCTTTACTTAATTCAAGTGTCTCAGGAAAGGGACTAATAGTGTGTTCTTATGAACACGGTAATAAACCTTTGGGTTCATAAAAGGTGACGGATCTCTTGACAAGCTGAGTGAACATAGGTTTCTCAACAGAAACTCTGCTTCATGAAGTTAGTTACTGAAGTGGTCAGAGTGTGAAAGTGACCTCCGAGCTATATCTCACGCTAAACTTTAAAAATGTTTGTAGCTTTTCCTTCATGCTCTCTGTGTTGTCACAGCATGGTTCTTAGGCATAGTGCAAATTGAACTAAGACTTTGATCAATAAGCATTTAGTAATTAATTCTTCGAAAATATCTCTACAGTCCTTCCACACTTGATTTGCAAACTACCTGAAGAATACCTCATGAATCTCCTCCTGGGGGCTCTAATTTTAGATTTATCTTTTTGTTATAAATGATGTGTACAAATGAAAAATAAAGACAGTGTAAGAAGAAACTATGACATATATTTTCATTCAAAAGCGTTAACTTGAAGAAAGACATATAAAACAATATTGCTATCGGTACTAATAAGGAAAGCACCCAACTTTTAAAGTTGAAACCCCACCTGAAATTACATACATAAATAGTACCTGTCCAGTATGGATTTTGTGCAAAATTTCAGCTTCCAATACATATTGCAAGCATCAATAAATCAAGTTAGGGAATATATGCAGAGCATACAAATTCTGGCATTTTTCTTCCCTTCTATTTAATTCAAAATCTTTCATGCTTACTCAAAAAGTATATTGGCCATACATGGTGTGTTTCATTTTCATCTACATTTGTCCAAAGAATTTTTACTCTGCTAAATATTCAGTGAGTTGCACTTGAGATGAACAAAGAAACATATGGAGGTCTTCAACTAAAGTGTTCTTTATTGTTATCTGAGTTTAACCAAATATTGGAATGTGCTGACATATTTCAGTAAAACTTCCAAAATGAGATTTAATAAAAATCAACTCAGCAGTTCTGAACTTGTTACATACAGAAAGGTAGAGGAGGTGTAGCAAAAAGTTTTTTTTTTTTTTTTCAATTTTCTGTTGTGAATGCATCAAAAATAGAAAATTGTATTACAAAAACAAAACCATTTTTCACAAACTCAGTGCTTCAAATAAATTATAAATAATAAAAGATATAGGAGGCGTAGCAAAAAGTTGGTTTTTTTCGATTTTCTGTTGTGAATGCATCAAAAATAGAAAACTGTATTACAAAACAAAACAATTTTTCACAAACTTAGTTCTTAAAATAAAATCACTCCTATGGTTTAATAGTAAAATTAAATTAGATACTGGAGACAGAACACAGAGTTAATATACTAAAGCGAAGTAAGTCCACAAAAGGCCTGAAAAAAATTGTTTAATCTGCACCATGAACATCAGATAAGCAACATCATTTGATATTCACAGAATTACTGAAATTTTGGACTTTTCCCATCGTCTAATATTCTACAAAACAGAAAACACGAAGTTTTGGAAACTGGATCTGTTTCCTTCCTCAGGGGAAGGGGGGGGGGGAAGACACCTACTCAGTTTGGCCCCCTTAGAAAGAGCTGATCTCAATTGATCTTTCTAAGGAGCCCAACTAAATAGGTGTCTTCCTCCTTCCCTCACCTGAGGACGGAAACAGATCCAGTTTCCAAAACATTGTTTTTTCTATTTTCTAGAATACTGAACAATAGAAAAAGTCCAAAAACCCAGTAATTCTGTGTGTTATACACCATCGTCAGAACCCTTTACAATCTATTTCATACTCCTGCTGTTCACCAACATGGTTCATTCAATACAGACAAAATTGTACTGGGGTTTCAAGAGCTTTTGATCACATTTCATCTATCCACATGTAACAATTCAAGAAACAAATTTTCACAAAGTTTGATGCTTAGGAGTTTCGCTAAAATTTGTCAACACATTCAAATTTTAGTGTTTCTACATGCAATCTAAATGCAACTCACATAATATTTACTGAAGCAAAAATTATTTTGGATAAATACTAGGAACAAAAATATAACATGTACTTCAGCAAGTCTTCTTGTTGGCCACATCATAGCTCAAGCGGTTAGCCACCGGCTTCCCACCGTGGCAGCCTGGGTTCGATCCTGGGTCTGGTCATGTGGTCATGTGATGGACAAAGTGGTGCTGGGGCAGGTTTTCTCCGAGTACTTCGGTTTCCCCTGCCAATCTTCATTCCACCAATTGCTCCACAATCACCCTCACCTATCATCTGGGGCTGGTACAATAGGCCAGAAGCGGCCACAGTACAAGGGACTTAGTCCCACCCCACTAACAATAAAAAAAAAAAATCTTAATGTTCCTCAGATAATTAAAAAAAGGGATGGAATATGCAAGAATTATTATAACATGCATACATTTCCAAAATCGTTTTACTCATGACATTCAGCGTTTATTGGCAACTGAAATTCTCCTAATAATTACTACTTAATAAGATGCAGTAATGCTCACAATTTCAAAGAGGTTTCAATATGATGACTTAAATGGTGCCCTTGCGAAAAAGAAAAATATATGTTTATGTCAAAGAACATTGGCATGGAGGATAAAAATTATCTGACACTGCCTCAGCTCACCTCACACGATACCTATTTAAGTGGCCAACAGTACTTGTATATTAATGAGGAACACCATCACTGGAAGAAATTATGGCACTGGAAATCATGTATCTTAAGGTGATCTACTGCATGATGACAAACACTGAACATCTGAGATCTTGTGAGATTTGAAGTTCTCCTGAAGGCACTACCTTCTGGGATTTTATGGCATACAGTATGGTAGATGTTTACCATTGTTTCAGAGGAATGCACTGCCTCCATCTTTCGGGTTGAAGAGTCAAGCAAGCAAGCAAGCAAGGAAACATGCAGCCTCCTTGGCTTACTCTTCAACCGTGAAGATGGAGGCATCACATTCCTTCATAATATCAGCAAACTTCTGCCAGACTACACAGCACAATACCCAGAAACAGAACTCTTCAAGTTCTTCTTTCACCAGAGCGAGTGAGTTATTTCTTTATAGTTATGAAGGGGAAAGTATACTAACTACTCTGTAACTTTTTACTTTTATATCAGCATATACAGGCAATAATCTTAAGTTTATACAGCGGAAATCTTCCAGTACTAGAACGATAAAAGATTTGTGATGAAAATATGAGTATATTAATGTTTTAGTTTTCTGTTGGCACAGTATCAGAGATTACAATACAGAAAGCTCAGGTGAGGGCTGGCAAGGACTGAAGAAAAAAAAATAAAACATTTACATCTTAAAACAAGCAAAGCATATAGGGTATACTACATAGAAATCACATGTTTTTACATCACAAAGTCGCCTACACATTACAAAGAAGAACTGAGGGTGCTGGACGATTCTTTATTCAATCAATAATGTTGTAACCAGTGAAGACATTATTAGCTTTAAAGATGTTAAGATGGTCATTAGTGAATAGGATGGAAATAAAGAAAATCTATGAAGCACTCAACCACAGTACTACCCAAATACAAGAGAGATCCTTCACCACTGAGTTAGCCTACTCAACAGCACAAAGACTAATGTCATATCAAGACTTGATTTTGTTATACAGGTGACATTCTTTTCCACAAGAAGTGATATACCACATTTCAGTGCATAAAGAGACAAGTATTATGACACATTTGACATCACAATTTTATGTTACAGAATGATCAAATAATTAGTAGTGTAGACATCTTTATGGTGCTGTGTCAAATGTCAGTGTATTGCATTGCGCCCACCTCAAGAGAAGTCTCCAAGCACTGCTCACTTTGTTGTATGTAGAAACTCAGGAAATAGAGTGCAATGGTAAAGTTGGCTGGCGCCTGGATCATCAAAGTACACTCACTAGGAACTGTCTGCATTAGGATGCGGCCTTGCATCCCTGTGTAATTTCTGTTGCAGCCTGCAGGAAAAGACAGACCATTGTACCACTGTGATATCAGTTTGTCTAGGATGCAGTAACTGGTTTTTATTTGGAACCAAACTTTGACTTTTGCAATAATGAGGTCTGAACTTTGTACATGTAATAAAAGAGTACGAAAAAACATGAAACTGAAGACGTTTATCTTCTGCAATATAATTCCATGTAGTCTGTTGAAAGTCAGTCAAAGTTTTGGAGAGACATGTCACCTCCATCTTCAGAGGTAATGAATAAGCAAAGCAAGAAATCGGCATAAACCTGCTCATGCTGGTTTCTTGCGCTTGGCTCTTATTCTTCAACCCTGGTGATGGAGGTAACATATTTCTCTGAAACATCAGATGACTCTGAATGGACTAGACAACTTATATCCCAGAAGATAAAGCACTGCTGTGAAAACATCAAATCCTGAAAACGTGTAATTTCTAAACTTCTTCCCATCTAGGCTGCACATACATCAGCTTCACTTTATGATGATTATGCAGTGCTATCTTTTATTATTGAGTGAAACATATTTGAGATTGTATTCCTCTTGACTCTTCTAGTTATAAAATAAATAAAACAAAATGAGCTGATCAGTACTTGCTGTTACCCAAAGACTGATGAAACAAGCAAATCTAACTATTAAAATTCCTCGCTTTTTGAATCATGTGATAAAGTTAGTCATAGTGAGAAATCAGAAAATGTTGAAGACATAACTTGATTACCTTTATTGTAATTAATACATATATACTCATATTCAATGGCTAGAAACATCCCCCTGACAAAAAACAGACGATAAGGTTTAGACAAAATCATTAAAAATATTCCATGCATCATTCTGCTTTTGTTGTTTTTCACTCTCCTCACCAAAGGAAACTTTCACTTTACAATTCTTCTCCTATGCAATATTCACAAGATATTCATGGGACCACAATTACAGCCTCAAATGAGCTCTGCATTCCTTCTCCTGCTCTAGCCAAAAGTAAAGAAGTTAAAGAAGTGTTAAAAGTTCTCCACAAAACTTCTCATCTCTCAAGTATTCTGACCTATTATGTATTTCTCACGATATTTTAATACTATATTGGCAAGTTATATTAAAATGACAACAAGCAACAAAGTTACTCCTCTGCCAATGTTAAAACCATGCAGCTTATGCATGTACTCATACTTACAGAATGTTGTCGAACTGCAGGAAGGCAGGCATAAGAAATATACACTTTTAAGGAAAGATGAAACCTGAACAACGGCAGAAGAATAAGAAACAATTTGCATATATAAAGTGTCTTCTCTATATAAACTAAGAAGAAAAATTGTAGCAGATATTCAAGGAGTGAATCAAAGTACCTTCAAATGCGTAGCGTAACTTGAATCCCTTGCCTGACATGGCTGAATTGCTTTGGAATGTAACCTGAACAGTGTTCTGTTGAGAGTAGTAGTCAATGGGCAGCCCACGCCCACAGAATGTTGCCTTGATCTGTGGAGAACGGACACCCTGGACAAATGTACAGAGCATATTACAATATGAACTGGATTTATGACGTTTTACACATGTCCATTCCATGCATGCATTGTATTTACACGAGTGCTTTTTTGACTTCTTGTTTCATTTTGCCTGTGATGGATTGAGCAACATGTCTGCATCAAGTTTTGTATGAAGCTTGGTAAATTCACTATCAAAACCCTTGAAATGCTTCATTAGGCATTTGAAGAACATTATTTAAGCTATATAGCGGTTTTTGAATGGCATTCATGTTTCTAGTCCGGTTGAGTGTCAGTTGAAGATGGCGAATATTCAGGGCAACCAAACACCAGCAAAAAGACAGGACTTGTTGAAAAAATTCGAGAATTCATCCATGAAGACCGTTGCTGAACAATCCATGACCTTACAGACACCACTGGGATCAGTTATGGAGTTGCCAGAAGATCTTAACAGAAAATTAGAACATGCACCGCACTGCTCCTTAATCAAGACAGTGCGCCTATCCACATGTCCCCAAAAACCGCAGAGTTTGTGACCAACAATAATATGGTTATTGCTCCCCATCCTCCTTACTCACCAGACTGAGCCCCCTGTGATTTCACTTTGTTTGCCAAATTCGAAATGAAACTGAAGGGACATTTTGAAACAGTGTCTGACATCCAAATGGAATCACAAGCGGTACTTGACAGCATTAAGAAAAATGACTCCCACGGTGCTTTTGAAGTGTGGAAAAAATTACAGGATTGTTGTTTCAAAGGAGATGGCAGCCAAAATTTAGTGTGTTAAGCCAGTATATCTTTTTTGACCTAGACCGGGAACTTTTGGATACATCACATATGATACCCTATCACTAACAAATTCTACCCTCTTACAAGTAACTGCTGATATGATTCTCTTATGTACGAAAAAATCTGTACCTAATTTATGATTCTCATGCCCCTTTCTATAGAAAAATGTATATGTCCCATCTGGCCTCCTGTACTCCAAGTAAATCTAACTTATATTTTGAGACTACTTCTGCCACTGCCCTGATTGAACCTGCCCTATACATACTTCTAATATTCCAAGCACCAACTCTCATATCACTAGTGAATGGAAAAACCAATCGCTATTAATTGTGATAACCATAAAAAACACTCAAATACACTCCATGGGCAAAATGTAGGGTTCTGGTATGTTACAGCAGGTGGTACATAGAGTAGCCACTGGGCTTAAAAGAGTTAAATTACCATGTTTCAAATAATGTATGCACCTACAAGGAGCAACATCAAGCTGGCTTACTCTGGGATTTTCTGATTGCTGTCTGTAATGATGTAAATGCATATGACATTTATTTCATTTAAGGGTCATATACTTTGGTGGGGGTGTAGCTTATATATTTGGGCAAATATGAAGAGAGTTATGAACCTCAGAGGTAAGCAGGATTTGTTCTCGGTGCGGAAAACGTTATGACTTTCATATGTGGTTGATAATGATGCATGTAAAATATTCACTCTGAGGATTTTCATTTACATCATGACAGCATCCCTTAGTGGGACAATAAGGAACAACTTGGCTATCATATTTTGTGGTTTCCCAAATATCATAAAACGGCCAAGCTGTGCATTATTCTCAGTCTCTGGTGAATGGGATTCTGTTGGGCACACATGCACCTCAGTACTTAACTCAAAATATTGTGTTGCAGCATCTGTTGCACTGTGTATTCCAATTTTAGCACTCACACTCCGCTATCCCTGTGCAATTTTGTTCATATTGTGGTGTACAGACCCGTTTCTAGGCAACAACCATGAAACAAACAACAAGACAACAGCCATTGCTTCAGGCAGAAGATTCTTAACAAGCAACAACTGAGCCACAACAGAGGAACTGTTGGAAACAATGTTTTCTACTTGGTCTGTGCAAAGGGGTTATATAACGAGGACACCAGCCAAGGCAGGGTCGAATACCACCACTGTAGCTCTGCGAGTCACAGGAGGTGACGAAAAGGGAAGTTTTGAATCTGAAGCATTAAAATATGGTCGCCAATTCCCATGGGACTCAGACCCAAGAATGACTGCGGTGGTGAGGCTCAGGAAGAATTCTATATGACAGACCCGTCCTCTTGTCAGCGAGAGAGTCCCACATCAACAAACCCACAACTGCCTGACAGTCATAAAAACGTGGTCATAAGCCCTAGATGGGTGCTTTATTCCAAGAGAGACTGGCTGACTAACCATCGATCGTAACACATGACTTAGACTTAGAGCTACAGTTAGTTGAAAGTCAGTCTGTGGAGAGAAAACTAGGAGGTTAGTGTGATAATCGGTGCCAGCCTGCCAGTTAGTCAGTTGAAGCACTTAGAGAATTGAAGGGAGCCTGTGACAAGAAGACTTAGTCAGTGCAGTCAGCACAGAAGCTAAAGAATCTCCTCTGTTAAAATCCATTACCAGGAAACNTAGCACAAATCCTCTCAAATTCTCAACAAGGAAGGAAATTGAAAACATTATTAAATCCCTTAAGCCCAAAAATTCACATGGATATGATGAAATCTCTACCAAATTACTTAAAGCAAGCTCTGTTTACATCAGTTCACCCTTGAATCATCTATGTAATAAATCTTTATCATCAGGTACTTTTCCTCAACGCTTAAAATATGCTATAATGAAACCACTTTTTAAAAAAGGAGAGAGAAAATGCAT